AGAAAAAGATAGAGGTGTTTGGCAAAACACTGACACAATCAATACCACTTTGAAATGATTTTGTGTCTTGCTACATTGTCTTGCTAGTTAAAGAGAAATGAGTACATGGACATATGCAAGTGTTGAGTCCAGCAACTTGATGTAGTGCAATTAAAACAAGTAAAAGATCAATACAAAACTTCTTTTCACTCACAAGACTGAATGATGGTATATTATATCAAATCAGCATAGGAATTGGTCATCCTTTCACTATCTGACTCCAGCTCCTGTCAAATGAAAATCTGACTTAATTAAGTCCTTGTTAGTGTGTCAGAACACCTAAATCAAGACAAAATATTTCATGTATGTCACAGTTACTCGACAAAAATTCTAACTGATTAGCAAGGAGCTTCAGCATCCGCTTCAGACATAGTAATTAAAATGATACTTGAGACAGTCCACTTAGATACTGCATCTCTTCTGGGGTTCAGAGACCTGCCAGTGCTGCTGGATAATAGACCCGGCTTTCCTCTTTGCTGTCAGATCCATGGAGGAGAACGTCACAAGGCCAGATTGTTTTCTGCCAGTGTGGGTTGTCGGCTCCACAAGACGTTCTTCCATGGGGGTTTAAGCTCTCTATTGCTGAAAAAAAATTGTTGCGCTTTCAGGTCAATAAGCTAATTTTACCTTAATTTTACCTTGTGGGCTGAAGTCCAGCTTGTGATTGTCCATATGCAGTAAAGATAGGGAGGTAGGGATAGGTGCCTACATGTCTGCAGATACTTATTTTTACAATCAGGCTAGTTACAGCACAAAGTAAAGAACACTCTAACAGAACTTGCTGACGAGTTTCATACTTGTAATAATAACTATGTAGTAAAAGTGACATGGAAAGTTTTTTGTTAGCTGCTGGTGTATATTTTCAGGAAAAAAATGTGAACAATCCCAGCTGAAACTCTCTGTAAGAATTTAGAAGCTCTGGAGAGCTGGGCTAATGAAATGGGTGTTCATCATTCCAAAACCTGCACCTTGCTTCATTCTAATAATAGTTATACATAACCTGCTCTGTGCTTGCTTTCTGTTTATTCTTGTTTTATTCGGAGTGTTTAGCAACTTCTGAATATGAAGAATTTTAAAGCAAAGTATTTCTGATAATAACCCATTGATGATGTTACCACAGTATCACAGTATGCTAGAGATTGGAAGGGACCTCGAAAGATCATCTAGTCCAATCCCCCTGCCGGAGCAGGAACACCTAGATAATGTTACACAGGAATGCGTCCAGGCGGGTTTTGAATGTCTCCAGGGAAGGAGACTCCACAACCTCCCTGGGCAGCCTGTTCCAGGGTTCCGTCACCCTCACTGAGAAGAAGTTTCTTCTCAAGTTTAAGTAGAACCTCTTGTGTTCCAGTTTGTACCCATTACCCCTTGTCCTATCATTGTTTGCCACTGAGTAGAGCCTGGCTCCATCCTCGTGACACTCCCCCTTTATATATTTATAGACACTTATAAGGTCACCCCTCAGTCTCCTCTTCTCCAAACTATAGAGACCCAGCTCCCTCAGTCTTTCCTCATAAGGGAGATGCTCCACTCCCTTAATCGTCTTAGTTGCCCTGCGCTGGACTCTCTCCAGCAGGTCCCTGTCCTTCTTGAACTGAGGGGCCCAGAACTGGACACAATATTCCAGATGGGGTCTCACCAGGGCAGAGTAGAGGGGAAGGAGGACCTCTCTCAACCTACTAACCACCGCCCTTCTAATACACCCCAGGATGCCATTGGCCTTCTTAGCCACAAGGGCACAGTGTTGGCTCATGGTCATCCTGTCGTCCACTAGGACCCCCAGGTCCCTCTCCCCTACACTGCTCTCTAACAGGTCGTTCCCCAACCTATACTGGAACCTGGGGTTGTTCCTGCCCAGATGCAGGACTCTACACTTTCCCTTGTTATATTTCATCAAATGCCTAACTCTCCAGCCTGTCCAGGTCATGGGCTTTAGAAATTATTTCCCCAAATATTCTGCATCCTTCTTTGGTAATTAGGAAGTGTCATTATCTGCCCTTCAGGAATTTAGGGGGGGAAAAATGCAGTTATGAAAAGCTCATGCATGAATGTGGTTATCACTGAAGATGAAGAAAATAATCTGTTCAGGTCATTGGACATGCATCATCACCACGTACATAACTGCACAAGTTCCATTTCATCACTGTCAGCTATTGAATGGAGCAACACTTTTTCCATCGTACTGATGGATGCGGATGCACATTCTCAGTTGCAGCAAGAGTGCTGCAACATACTTCTGGCATGTTTTTCCTGAACAGGTCATTATAGATGACTGTGAGTCTTACATGGAAACATGTCTTAGTATGTAATAAAGATTCTTTAGTGTGTTGCTCACTTCAAAGCTAATACCTTTCAAAATGAAGTAAAATCATGAAATAGTAAATGAGTAAAATGCCTAACTGGAGAAGGCTGCACAGCAGTGACTCAGGATGGTTATTGAACTGTACCGGTGTTAGCTCTTCTTTCCAATTCACAGGCTCTGATCTTTTTCCGTTATTTCTGTCTCTTGCTGTTACAATTAGGAGTGGTAGATTCTATTGTAATTAATTTATAAAAGGTAAATCTCATGGGAATAAGGGCTGAAGGACTGAGGTCTTTGTAAATGGGTACGTGGCAGCTCTCTCCTGTCAGCAAATGTTATGTGTATCGGCAGTCTGAGGCTTATAAACTGTTTCAGTTAAATACTGGGTTCTGATATAAGGAACTGCATGTAGATATGTGGTGGTGGACAAAAATTGAGATGGGGATCTCATATACATTCCAGGTTTAAAGGAACAGTTTTATTCTCAGTCTACTTTCTGTGTTAAGTAGCTGATGCCAATTAAAAAGCTCAAGCATTTTCTGTAAACCCAGGTGTCTGATCCAGATTTCTGGCAGAGGGAAGAAGGGTCAAACTCTCTTATTGTAGCCTTTCCTCTTGTATTAATGTAACAATGTGCGGTACTTTATTCTTTCCCTATTAAAAGAAAAGCATCACCTCCAACAGTATTTTAACTTGAAAAAACCCAACCAACCAACCAAAACCCAACAGATTTGGTGTTTGTTCAGTGTTTGTCTTGGTTCTGATACTCTGTTTGAAACCTCAGCTTATGTGTCATCAGAGCCTGGCTGATACCTTTTGTTGAGTGCTGGGTGTACCTGCAAGTGGGTTCGGAGACTAATCTGAGTTGCTGGGGTATCTGTTGCTTGGCCACTGGGTTGCGTTGCCCTTTAGCTTGAAATCGAGTTCACTGCTTTCCTGTTTACTTTGTTCTTTAAATATTGTGATACATGTACATGAAATGGAAATATTTCTGTGTGAGCATTCTGATTTCATAAACATTCACTGGTTCTTCATAGTGTTAGCTTTGCACTAAGTATAGGACATTTTCAGTAGTGGGCAGAAGATTAAAGAGTCACTTCAAACCACTACTTTTGGTAGAGAAAAAATGCAGAAATGAATCCATCTCACTGTTAGCTGTATTCTGATTTGAGCTTGACAGATGAGGAAGAAGGGACCAGACTTTGAGTACTGGTGTTTGCTTTCTCTGGTGGGGAATAGCCTGTGGCTGTTCTGACATTGGCTGGGAAGGAAGCATGCTAAATGGTACAAGTGAAATGCAATTTGTTTTCTTTCTTTTCCAAACATCCGCTAGAATACAAAAGACTGCAGACAGCTGTGATAAAAGATGCTGCCTTAGTCCTTTTTCCTGCAGAGGAGTGGCGAGAATGAAATTCCAGTGTGAATCTTTCTCAAGGGCATAAGGGATTAATACGTCTTAAAATAGACACCATCAACTTAGAAATGTATTTTCCACACTTGAATATGATGAATTTTGCAGTGAAAAGATTGGGTGAAAATTGTATTTTCTCTGTTCTTCCAGCTTGTTCATGAATTTTGAGATAACCTTTTTACAAGTTAGTTAAATTCTGCAGTCTTAGGAGCTGTTGTGGGTTTATGTGCTGAAGTAGTCCGGCATGCTTCCATTTTGCAGAGTTATTTTAGACTCTGGTGATTACATGGCACCACAAACTCTTTGCTGCTGGTAGAACCACAAGGCAACCTGGATGTGGGTAGCAAGCTCAGAGTGGCACACGCTGCTTTTAGGACGGGTGACAGTGGAAGTGGGGCCACCACCTGTTTCAACTATGTGCTTCAGGGGATAGGGATCTGTTTAATTTGTCCCCTTCCTTTCCAAGTCTCCAGCAGCAAGTTCTTGTAATTCACTAGGTTATGTTCTGCCAGCTCAGTTAATAACTCAGATATTTGTCCAGAGCAAACCTAGGTACAAGGACGTGAAATTGCCAGCTCTGGTCATGTAACAGCAGCTGAGCATATGCAGTGCTCCCTCCCACTGATGGGCAGTGATGCCAGCATTGCCAGAGGAATGAGCATGGCATATTGTTTCTCCCCTATGCCTGATTATTTATTTGTGCGTTCAGATTCATAATAGCATAATAACAGACTTGAAACAATAATATAATTATTTCGCTTCTTGGGTGGTTAAAATTAACTGTGCTCTTTGCATATTTATTCAGTAAAAAGATACAAGATGTTTAGTAATTGCCCAGAAATTCATTATCTGCATAATGTTCTGTTTCTAAATGTGTATTGCATGATCATTAATCTGTGCCAACAGCAAGCATGCAGCAACATCTGATGTAATTAGTTTCCCCCTTACATGCCAAGGAGAACATCTGGGCTAATTGCATGTTGTTGACAAAAGTTGCCATTCTAATGGGGGTCCCTGTTTCTGCACATACACACTCATTATATGTACAAACATACTCATGATTTCAGTTTATCCTCAAGCAAACTGGTAGTTCTTGCTGGTGAGATACTCTTGGTGATGTGTTACTGGGGTCGTACAGTGTTTGTGAACAGCATTAGTAAATGTTAGCAGGGATAATATGCTCTCTTTTTAAACAGAAAACAAACAAACCTGTAATGTAACGCTGCTTCTTCTGTTTTGTTTTCCCAGCCGCCACTGGTCCAAGCGATTTTCAGTGGTGATTCAGAAGAGATACGGATGTTGATCTACAAAACCGAGGATGTCAACGCCTTGGTATGTGACTTGGCTTGTTACGTGCTTGTGATACGTGATCACCATGCTTATGAACTGTTGGAATGACTGTATTAATCATGTTCTCAGTAATTAACATGTAACAGAACGGGAATGCTTTGGAAGTTAGAGATGTGGGGATTCAGTGGAATCCTAATTAGTTCTCTTGAAATATAATTATCTCCAGCAGGTGACTTTAAATTTTCTCAGTGTATGGTAATTATTCCAAATCTGCAGGTCAGGCAGGGACATTGTTTTTTCTCTTACTGAGAAAATGAATGAAAACAGCTGAAAGCTGCATGTTTTTACTCTCTGTAGAGTTTCCTTTTAGCAAGAGTCTTTGTAGATCAGGAGCTGCTATTCAGTGTTTGACTATAGTTGAAAGCTTCACTATAAGTCTCAGCAGCGAGAGTAAGGAAGCAGTATCTTGGCCACGATTTGCCCACAAAGGAATTACTGTTCTGCAGATTGACTTATTCTAGCCAGAACAATGGTAAGCAGCTGTAAACAAGTAGTGGTTAAGTGTCTGGCAGTGGAAAAAAAAAAATCTTCATTTTGGCTTTTTGCATAAGGTTGGGCTCTCCCCTGCCCCCCACCTTTGATCTTAACTTAAATCCTTACTGTTAGAAATGAACTCTGCCAGTCCTAACTACCCTCTGTGGCCTCTGAAAGTGGTAAGAATATAAAGCAGAAGCAGAACAATGATTTCCAGGTGTTTCCTGGACTTTTGAATCAACCTTCCTTTTCTTCACTTCTTTTTCTGACATAAAGCCATCAGTTTATTCATAGTTAACCCCAGCAGTTTGTCTGGTGTAGTCTTGGTGCTGCAGCTTTTGCAGGCAGTGGGGTCCAGCCATCTGGTTCAAAGCTGCAGAAAGGAACTGGAGAAGATCTGGTTAGCTGGAGCTTCACTCCGTTTGCTATCAAGTGGAAGGAAAGAGTTGCTGTTTTAAATGGAGAATCTGATCAAACATGACCTTGATGTTAAGCTTTCCCTTTGATTATCAGTACCTGGTTGCTTTCTTCCAAGAAGTTCCTAAAAGTGCTTTTTTAAAGCATCGTCTCCCTTGAGTTTCTTCCTTATTTGTTTTCAACAGTGGTCTCAAAAAGCCAAAGGAAAAAACCAAAGCCATCCAAGCAATAAAAAAATCCCCTAACCTAGATGAACATGACAGTCCTAAAATTTCCTCTGTATTTCACTTTATTTTTTCAAAATAGCATTTCCTGTAGAAGGTTATTGCAGCTTCTCAAATGTTTTTATATCCTTTGGCTGCAAGTGTGGTAGTAACGGTTGCTAGGGAGATGCTCTGAACTGTCAGGTGCGATACTGGATGAAGAATATGTGTTTTGCAGATGAGTACTTAATAGAAATAGTCATTGAACTTGAATGGTCTTGCTCAGAATGCTGTTTGAGATGCTAAAAGTCCATCCAAGAAGGCTTTTCCTCAACTGCTTTGTCAGGAGCAACAAACAAAGCTGTTCTTTGGAGTAATTAGAAAAATACCAGTCAACACAAATCCTGAAGGTTTTGTGTGTGTCTGGACAGTGATTGCAGACAAGTGTCACATGCTTAAAATGTCACTGAAGACAGATCAAAAGACAGCATTCCCCACCCCACCCCCCATGCTGTGAACTGGCAATTTGCACCGTGTGCTTCTATTACTATTTTAAGGGTGTTTTTAATTACTTCCATGTTAGTATTTCTTCAGTGCTTGGTTCTCACGTGGGAGGAAACTCTGACACTGTTTGGCAGCGATTTGTCCTTTGTTGGTCGTTTTGGTTAGCTGCATTAATACTGGAATAGTTCACATAGAGGTAGGATGGGGAAATGAAATAAAACTCCATTTCTGCAGCAAGCTTCCCAGATTTCCGAAGTTTTAAAAATGGGGTTTTGGAATCTGCAGAGGGAGTTTATTTGGAAAGCAGAATTAAAAAGCACATGGAGAAACTATGCAAAATTATGGATGTATATGCATACTTCCTAAGAGAGAATCAGTCTCAGAGGAAAGAGTTTGGAGCAAATCAGAAGTGTAGAAGGTTACTTGGTTTGGGGCTTTTTTTTGTGATCTGGTAAAGTAATTAGCATCTTTCCTAGCCAGGAAGTGTATGTTGAATGAAATGGCTACATTCTAAATGCTGCTATAATTGTAGCTTCTCTTTGGCAACCAAGTGAAAGCTGTAGCTGTTTGGCTTAGAAGTGGGTTTAGTTCACTCTGCCTCCCTAATCCCTAGTTATGCTTTGGGGGAACATGATGCTACTTTTGCACCATAGGGGCATGGACAGCGTTATACTTGGCTGGCGATGAGTGATTCCCTGCCACTGAGTACTGCATATACTCTGTTTCCATGGGAAATGTGGTCTGCCTGTGGCCAGTGTTCAGCAGCCTGTGTTCCTGGGGCAGTTGGGATATTGGGTTGGACAATCCAGACCATGTCACGATTTTCTACTAAACCAAAATCCTTCCTGTAAAATTTACATTTTCATCTCGGTCTTCTGGTTTAGTTACTTTTCAAAATATTCAAAGTCAAACAAAAAAAGGCAAAACCCCCTTCCAGCATTCTTCCCCATAACAAATGTGGTATTTGCAAGCCAAACCAGACATTTGTTTCTCTCTCTTTTTACTTTTTATCCCCTAATCCTGCATCTGCTCTTGGATAGAACCCTAAGAAACAAAATATATGCAAAACTTTGATGTCCCCAGAATATCTTCCATGCATTCATGGTTTTTTGGTAAGTCAAAAGTATACCCACTCACTCCACAGTGAGACTGTTGAAGCAACATCTACTTTCCCAAAACTTAGTTGCTTCTGTTTCTACAGTTGGGGCATGGTTGCTGATACGGCCTTCTGGGCTTGATCCTCATAGCTGCTTTGCTCGATGCTCTGCCAGCTGCAGCTTCTTCTCACTGCTTGTTGGTGCCAAGAGCTGCTTGTGCACATTGTTCCCCACCCACTTCCACCAGAATGAGATAGGTTAGGAGAAGGTGACGGTTTAGCTGAATTTGGCTTGTTTCCATTCATGTGGAGCTGCAAAACCAGGTGTTTATCCAGGTCTTCACACACACAAGTTCCATGTATTTCTGTAATACTGCTAAGCATGCTGTTTGCTGTGGTCTGAGTGCTTGAGGGTACAAGTGTGCACACATGTAGGATTGTGAGTCTGAAAGGCTTTGCATGCTTGAGATAGCTAATGTGAAAACCAGCTTGTTCACTTTGGAGTGACATGCTTGACATGAGGGACCTTGATATGGTATTTCAGTTGTCTTGGGAACCAGACCCTGTCTCTGCTCTCATCCAGGGAATGACAGTTTTCTTTCTGACACTGGGGAGTCTTGCAGGAGAATAAAATTATCCTGGAAATAGACATTCCTCTTCTAGATGTAGTTTTGCTGTGCTGGAAAGTCTTCTGGAGGATTTAGTCAAGAACTTTGGAAGGCTTCTGCTTTGACAGTTTGACAGTGTGGTGCTAAGTGATAGCTGTGTTTCCAGTGGGCATTTAGCTCACTGTTTGGTGTGCTGTTAATTTGAGAGGGAAGTAACAGAAAAATTTCCTTGTACAGAAGGAAATTGTGAACAGTTTTTCTCAGTTATGCAAGGAAATTGAATATGAAATTGCATCCATGTTTGCAATGTAAGGTAGCCAGCATGACTTCTATTTAGAGTATTTTTTTCTCTTAGAAAATATAGGGTTTATATATTTTATAAAGAAGATGTTTGAACTGTGAAGAAGATTCTGCTGGAGTTTAGTGGGAGTCTGAAATATTATGAGTTACTCTGTACAGCATGCTAGTATATTACTGGGTGCTAAGTCATATATATCTTGCTGGTGACTCATGTTTATCAGTGTCCTTAAAAACACTGGGGACAGTCAAAGATGTCTCCATTAAAAGCTCATGGCAGAGTTGGTTGTTGGAGTGTTCTTTTCTTTAAAGGCAGCAACGTCAACCTGAAATAGCTGGACACTCTGAATCTGCTTTTCCCATCAGCTCAAGTTATATATGCTCCCACATCATCACCTCCCTAAGTCAATATTGCGTTTATAAAATGGAGAGGCTATTTAAGTCTATCTTTTGAGCCTTACGTTGGAAACTCTCTCCTACAAACATTAAAACATTTCCATTAATTAGGATAACAGTTTCTGTGGTCTCAATCTAGGATGAGTAATTGATTTTAAAAGTTATCTTTTTCTGTCATGATGACTACTGTTAGCATGCGGCTGGCAGTAGGAAGGAAATGAGGAGGCTGACATGAGGAAAGAAAGTGTTGGATGGAGGGGGAGAGGGAAGATGATTTTTCTTGTCTCTATAAGTATCTCAAAGTATTTGCCTCTTCCACCTCATGGCCCCTTGGTAATTAAAGACTTAGTCCAGAAAAATCTTTGTTTCTAGGGTTAAACTGAAGACTGTGGGGATGAGAGGTGCTGAAACAGAGATCTGTCTTTTCAGGCCGGACTTTCTGTGCTTGGTAATAGCAGAAGAAAGAGCACCAGGCATAAGTTACACAGCTTGACTTTCACCTCCCAGCTGGTGCTCATACTTAAGCATTTGATTTGCTTTGTGAATTACAGGCTTTAATAAAAGAATCTGAGAGGGAGGAAATCCTGAAGTCACAGAGACTCTCCTTGTACAGTATCAGCTTTTGGCTCTCAAGGGTTGTAAATAGCCCTAGAAGTAGCTGCTTCTTTGCTTTTAACAGTAGTTCCTAACCAGTTCCCAATATTCAGTTTTCCCGAAGTCAAGTTGTATCTGAATGTTTGTTTGAATGGTACCTTTTGTGTTTCTACATCAGGTGTACTCAGATGTAACAACAGTAAATGGGACAGCTGAGCAGGAGGCTTGTTTCTGTGAATGTTTTGGTTAGACTTGTATCAATGGAAGTTGTAGCCATTTGTTTTTCTCTAATACAGTTGAGTTTATTCTGCCACCCAGGCAGATGCTGGCAGCTTGAAGGTGAAATCCAAACACTTATACCAATGAAACCTGGTTTTGTTGGTGCATTAACTGCTTCTTTGCTGAACGATTCCTGCTGGCTGCTCAGACAGGTGACAAAACCAGAATATAGACATTTATTTGCTGTAGCAGTTGCAGTTACATTTTAATAGTAAACATCTTCTGATCTGAACATCTGCAGTTGGTGTAAAAGTTCAAATCCATAATCTCCTTTGAGATACAGGCTGTGCTGAGGAGAAACTGTTGGCCATTTTCTAAACACGACTGATTATTTTACGTATGCCGATATGACTGATCTTAGCCCCTGTTCTGCTACTCTTCGTGTACTCTAAGGCTCTGCGCCAATAAAGCACTTATGGACTAGCCTAACTTCAAGCCTCTGAAGGGCCTTATCAGTGTCCCTGTGATCACTTGAGTGCTTTAAGCATGTGTTGAGTGTTTTTCTTGCTGAGGCCTTCTGTCTGCAATTGCCTGTTTGTTAAATGCTTCATTTCCTTTATCTGTGTGCTTTCTAAAAACAAATGAGTACAGATAATGCAGCAGCATCTTTTCTGTGAACTAACAGAAGTCACTTGACACAGTTTTGGGGAGAGGGTGTTTATCTCATCTCAGCATGTTTTTATAGCCATTGTTAGCTTATCTACAGTCTCTTACTGAGCTTTGGTTCCTCTGAGAACTGCGCTGGAAGCAGGTCTGATTATTTGTCACACTATCATCATTTCTTCCCCTCCACCTCCTTTCCTTACCTTGATAATGTGTGGTCAGGTTTGGGGTACTTCCAGACCTTTCCCAGAAATGACAAGTTTTCTTTTTATTCCTCTGTTTTTGTTTGTAGCCTTCAGTCTTTAGATCGTTATTGAGCTACTTGTGCACCTTTTACTACCACCATGCCATAAGGACGTCTGTAGATGGGTAGATGCAAGTGCATGGGCCAGGCGCAAAACCAGCGAGTTATTTAAACCTGACTGAAGTGGTACATAGCTTTGAGGAGAACTCAAGGAGTGTGGTTGGGCATATAGGCTCCACTTCCTCTGTTTCTGTGTCAGCCCTGTGCAGAGAGTAAACAGGAACTTGAGGATGTTCCTCCACTGAGTTGCTCAACTGCATGCTCAGCTGCAGGCACTGTGTGTGGACTTCTCCCTGCCAAACTGAAAACAGTGCCTGCAGGGATCTTTCATGTGTTTTTAGTTTTCTATACCACACTCTGGGTTTTGTCACTGGCTAGTTCATGTGAGGGTGAATTATTATTTGTGTCTCATTGTGATAAATGGAGGAACTTCAGGTTTTTTTTTCTCTCTTGCAAAAATTAAACTTAAATTCAGTTGTGTGACTAAGCCTAACTTTTTCTGAAGACTGAATTCTCACTTAATTTGGTAGGATTTTGCATCAATTTTAAGAAGTGAAAGCAGACTATACTTTTCAGAGCGTTGTTCCTGCTGCAGGAAGATAAAAATTCAACTTTTCTGTTTATGTCCTATCCTTCCTCAGATATCAAATGTCCATCAGATTTACAGTTTAGTATACAACATTGCTTAAAATCAATAAAACACTGAACACCTTTGGGTCCTTGATATAGAAAATTGCTTGGTCTTGTATCATTAGCGTTCAGCTTCAGACTACTCTGTTCTGGTGCCAAACTTGGCTGTGTAGCAAGAAGCTGCTACAAAATTTATCAGTGACAGATACAATAGCTATTACAAATACTACATTGTGCTAAAGACAGATTCATGCACTCAAATGAACAAGCTAAGAAAATGAAATAAAACTGATTCTATTTGTGTACGAATGTTTGATCAGTCTTTAAATACTTTTTGCTATGGATAGCATTAGGATATGTAATATGAAGCAATACTTATGAAAGGTCTCGTATGCATTTATGTAGTCCATAAAAGTTAGTGCATGGTGGATTATGTTTTAGGAGCTGAGCAGATGAGAGAATCCAGCTTGTGATTTTGGTTCCTGAGTGGACACTGCTGGATGGATGCTGCTTAATGTTGTTCTAACGTGCCTACCATGTGAGGAGGGGAAGTAAGGCATCTTTCCCTCTGACCTGTAACAACCAGGGTGTCATGTAATCTGTCTTTCAAGTGTTTTATGTCTATGCCCAATCTGAAAAAAAACACTGCAGCAGAATTTGAGGGCTATATACATTGTGTATGGTTGAAAAAAACACACAAATACAGCATTTAAACATAACTTATTCTGGTGACCAGTGGCTCTGTGCCTCACAGTGCTGGAAAACAGTTTTCAGCATTCACATTACAACTGGCTCTGCTGCACTGATTTGTCCACATTTATAGCATACTTTGAAGGCGTTCCAAAAGAGCTTGCGGTTGATGACCTCCTGGGCATGTTAAAAGTGATATTTTATTTTACAGTCTCAGAGTTATGTTTCAGTGAGAGAGTGAAAATACCAGCAGGGTTTCTGTGCTAGTATCATTTTCAGGAAGTGGTGAATCTGTTACCAGTTTACAGTATGTAATGCTGGTAGGTTGTGATTTGGTAAGTTTGATTGATAAGTCTCCTAGAACTTACTTTATATTAATGAGAAACTGAAAAGAAATACATTTAGCAGTAGAAAACATGGGTCAAGTAACATGATTAGCGGTATTGTTGCCCATATTACAATGTTTAGCAGTTTTTTTAAAGGCCTGTGTTCTGGAATCATCTGACTAAAGCAGTAAAAGAAAGGTGGTTTTTTTCTGGGTTTGTAAACACTGCGTTTACACCTCTTGAAGGTAGAAGATTGTGAACATGTGACTCTCTAAGGCTGAAAATTACAGAATAAAAGTAGGTGTATTTCAGAAGGTGTATATATGATTATTAACAATTTTAAGTTTAAAAACAGAGATCTGACTGGTAATATTTTCTTTATTTGTGTTCCATTTTGGGCTGCTGTAGACAGCTAGGTACAAGAACCTTTGTAGGCTTAAGGGGACTGCATCTTATCCTTATGTATGGTTCAAGCCATTCTCCCAGATACCCTTCTGATGGGTCCGGTGTTATATTGCTAGCACAAACTGCATTGCAAAGTCTGATGTCCAAAAGCATCTGAATTATGTCACTGCAATACTTACAGTGGGAAATGTTTCCAAAAGAGACCTAAGGATGATGTTTTTCCTCATTTTAGATTTGATTTTATCTACCTCTTATTGATATATCAGAGTAAAGACAACATCTCTGAAAGGTCTGGTGGAACGAAGTGATAAAAAAGTCGAGGTTTATTGGGAGGAAATGTGTTGTTCAGACCATGAACTTTGTTCTTGCAGTAGTTGATGTTGTATTTCTAATTATAAACACATACACATAGAAAAATAAACACAATCTATATATCCATTGCTCTTTAGCACTAACACTTGCAGTTATTGATCATGTTTTATAACTGTACAATCTATGATTTTGTAGGATGCCGAGAAACGAACTCCTCTTCACGTTGCATCATTCCTGGGAGATGCAGACATCATCGAGCTTCTCATTTTGTCAGGTAAGGTAGTACCCCTCACTGTTCTAACTGGTAAAGTAGCTAATCACAAAGCTGCAAGGAAGACCAAGCAAGGCATACGAGTGAGCTTTGGCCAGTGTCTGCTTCTGAGTTTCATAGAGCTGGTTGCAGTTGTTGCAGACTTAGAAAATATCTTTAAATGTGGTGGTACAGTTATAAAACATGCACTGTGACTGAGGGGAATTCATAAACAAAGCAACTAGGTTTTTAAAACTTCTGAACATTCAAACTGACAGTATTTGTGGCTTGCTGAAGTACGCATTTGAAATGCAGGCTCATGTCCTGGAGTACATGCCAAGAATTCCTCTTAAGCAAAAATTGTAATGAAATAATAGCAAAAATGTTATGAATGAGTTTGAATGAATTGTAAGTGGTATTTACATTAGACATGCGGGTCTAAGAGATGGGAAGCTGATTTGGAGAATAGAAACTGTGCAGTAGGAGGTATCTAAACAAAAAACTCAGTGTTTCCAGAGTGTTGTAGTGACAAGAAACATGATCAAAATATGTCAGAACAAAGCATAAAGCAGACGCCTCTCAAGAAGTGCACACAGGTCACAGCAAAGTCCTGGATATGCTTGCAGTTTTTTTCTACCCTGGAAAACTGTAAGGGTAAAGTTATGGGGGTTTTAGAATGTGGGATTGAAAAGAACCTGATGGTACAAATATCTAACCCCTTGACAGCAGCCTCACTATGTAATTGGTTTCACAAATTATCAGACTGCTTCTTCAAATATTGCTTTTCTTTTTCCTTTTTTATTTAGAAAGTTATTTCAGAACTGTCAGTCCGGTGATTGAGGCACCTTCTTATTTCAACCTTCAATCCTAGAATAATTCAGGCTGTAAGGGATTTTTGGAGGTTACCTGATCCAGCCCCCTGCTTGGACCACCAGCCAATTTCCAAGGTCGAGCAGCTGCTAATGGGCACATGCAAACCACACAAGGGTATTTTTTTGGGTTACCAGCCTATGCACACCTGGAGAAAGCAGAAAATAAGAATTCAGTTTGCTATAGCTATGCAGTTTCTCTGTACATTTTTGGGGCCATTTTGAGTTGTCTGAGTGCTTAACTAGTTGGACAGACATCACATATCGGATCTTTCTGCTCTGACTCTGATGCCAGCAGATTTAAGTGAGCAGGTTATGCTTGAGTGGGTTTTCCGTATGCTAAATGCAAACATGATGTTCTTCACTGGTAGGTAAGAGTTAATAAACTTAATCTAGGCATGTGTTCTTGCAGTGTGTGTGATGTTTATTATACACTGTTGTTCCACTATGGTGTGAGAAGATTGAAGGAGCAATGTCTTTTTTCAGGTGTTGCAAGTTACAGCACAGACAATATCCACATAAAGAAAAAGGTGAAGCCATTCTGCCCACTTCTTCGTCGAATCCCAGTAGCATAGAACGTGTAATGGTGAACATTCTTGTTTTTTTCACATTCCTAATGAGGGAGTGAGTGTTCTTCTGGGACACTTAGCTCCAGCATCTCACTGACAAAGTGTCATCCACAGACTATACAGTTTGTCTGGTTAACAATGGTTAAAATGCAGAGGATGTATCTTGGGGGTATTTTATGTGTCAAAGTGAGTGTGAAAAACTTATAATGTGGGCTTTTAAAAATTGGACTTTGTCAGTGTTCAGTCTGCAGGAGCTGTCTGGATCTTCAACAACTAGCTCAGCTTGAGTCAAAATCAATCTTGTGTTGCATATTCTACCTGTTCATTGTCCTTTAATCTCTGAAGTATCATTACTCATGATGAGCGTGAGTACTTGTATCCAAGAGCAGGTTTGGAGGTTTCTGAGGTTGGGAGGAGCAGATTTATGAGGTATTATAAACACTTCTTTGTTATTGTGATCTCTTCATGAGGCTCCAAAGACAACTGAAGCATCTTCCGTTTGCTTCACCTCTTCATTCGGTATGCTGTATTAGTAAAAGGGTATCAAAAGGGATTAACCTGATCATAAAATCTAGTTACATAATTAGAAAACTTTGTTTTCACAGAGAGAAAGCACATAAATGCTTGCTGTTGGAGTCAATAATATTCTCAGCATGAGAAGTTAGGAGGAGTAGCAATCCATTGCATTCTGTAGAGGGCTCAGGAGAGAAATTAAATGAAATATGCACATTCTGAGATATGTGGCCCATGAACTGGTGGCAGCACAAATAAATGTAGTGTCTAATGAGTAAAACTTCTTCCCCGGTGATTGAAGACAAACCAGAAATGGTTTTCTAGGTAATCAGTGAAATCGATTCTGTTTGGGATTGATAGAAGAGAGTGTCAGATCACTGGTATGAATCACCCCAGTCCATTAAACATCAGAGCTAGGTAGATTTACACCACCTCAAAGGTCTGATCCATAATCATATGGTTCAAACTGGGCAATTGTGCTGTGTGGTTTGTTTTTCCAGGCTGCATGAAAGGAGGAAGCTTTGAGTACTATTCCTTCACCTCCTTTTTTGTCAAGAAGGAGAAAGGCAAGGGCAACCATCTCACATAAATGAAGCTCTGTATGATGACACAGTCATGGATGTGCAAGACTGTCAGGGCAAATGCAAGTTCCATTCTCATTTGTGTTGGTGCCTTTACGCCTCCTGGGCTTTCAGCTGGTGCCCAAGGGCATACATAATGTTTTGAGCTCAATTCCTTACCCCTTGTTCCTCACCAAGGAGATTTAGACTGTAGAATCTAGATTTATTAGAGACCTGTGGCTTTGGCAGATGTCCTGGATGGAAAATTGTACTTTGATTGGGATACAGAGATGTTAACTTTATTCCTGAAAGCCAACATCAGGTTGTTTATTTTGGATCTCAGAAGAACAGAGGCAATTTCAGATTTATTTCCTCTTTTGGCAGAAAAATTTGAGAGTGAAGGATGGCAAAGATTGCAAAACAGCCATATTAAAGAAAAGTGGATTACAGAAAGTTTCCGCTCTGTTGATCTTATCTGTAACATTATATGTCGTGTTGTCTAGTTCAGCCTCACAGAGCAAATCCAACAGCTAAGCCTTTTCTTCAGTCCCAAGACTACGAGCTCTCCCAAGGGCAGAGTGTAGAAAATGGGGCTGAGAAAAGGCTTTACTCTGGATTGAGTTCTTCCTAACTGGATATTTTATGGGGTGGGTGGGTGCTGTGCCACCTGAAAGGATGTTAAAGGAAATCGTTAAAGCAGCTCATCTTTCCAAGGAAGAGTGTGCTATGAAGGACAACATATACACCAATTTGAGTGTGTTATCAGCCCTCTTTGTCCTTATAAATACACAGATTAATTCATGGAATATTGTAGGAAGTGCATTGAAACATGCTTAAAGTACTTGGTCTAGGGTGAAGATGGGGACACTGAATTGCTGGGTGACTTTGGGGAAGTGTTGTGGGATCGATTTGAAGATTGAAGCTTCTGATTTTCGGACACAGCTCATTTTAGGTGTTTTAGCATGTTTGAGGACTTAGAGTTGGATTTCTGTTGTTATTCAGTGCTTTCAAAGAGCTGTCCCCTGGGCTGTCATAGGAAGGGCGCTCAAGTTTGTGAAGTGTAGAGAACACCTTTGAACACATGAGCATTGCTCCCCAGGTGCCTTCTTTAACATGGCAGATATTTTCTGTCCCTGAAGGACTGCATCAGTGCTGGTGAAGGTTTTTTCACTGTCAGTAACTGTTGTCTGCAAGGAACTGCTGGAAACCGAAAAGCTGCATTTCGGCATTTTACAATGTCTCTTCAGCAGATGGGCACCTCAGTAAATGGACAACAGCAGCTCCTATATTAGGTGACAGCTGAGTTGTGCAGCTCGTTAAAAACAGAAATCACAAATATATTTAACCAATGCATTGAATCAGAGATGTGGGAGCAATTTCACTTTGTCACGTGAAGAGCCCCAAAGCACAGAGAGGTAAAGGGATGCGGAAAACAGGTGAGGAAGAACAGGCTGACAGCATGCTGTGTATTATTTTATTTACACTGGTATTGTTTTGCTTTTAGTATTTTTTTAGCTGTTCTCTTGGCAAATATTTCACTTCCTCAAAGGGCAAGTGGATCAGTGAAAAGCATGAATAGATGCTGATGGGGACGCTTCCCTGGGGTTTCTAATCATCTTCATGCTCACCAGTGCCATTGGAGATGTGGAATACTGAAGAATGATGTTTGTCACACTTTGCTACTCCACACAAAAGCCTTTCTGATTTGCAACCATCTGCTTGTAGGAGTTGGTGAATGGGTAGAAATAAACCAAAAGAAACCTTAGTTAAGAACATAAGGCAAAACCCCAAGGCAAATACAACGTAAATTTCTAAACCTGAAAAGAGGTATTTGGTGGCAATCATTAGGAATTAATCCATACAATTTGCATCCCTAAGATCTCTACCAGGCCAAATCAGCTTTGGTGTCCTGTCAGCTTCCTGATGATGAAGGTTATTGCCTTCCAGTGCCTCTAGAGCCTCGGGCAGTGTAGGCAAAGGGCAGGATACTAATGTGCATTGACCATAATATCCTTCTCATGAAGGCAAAATAAGCTAACAGCTTCCTTGCTTAGGCAGTCATTAGAAAACTCTTTGAAACTTGTCTTTCTAAAGGGTGTTTTTCCAGAGGGCAGGTTGTACCCCAGGTACCAGGTTCTGAGGTGAGTTCAGAGGATTGCCTCTAATTGTTGCAGTAATTAGGAAAGTGACTTTCTTTTCCTTGCAGCCAAAAAATTATATCCCAACTTGTGGAAATACGAAGGAACTTGTTTCTTCTCTGGATGTCTAGCACAATTCCCAGTAACCACCGTGATTCACAGGCAAGCCCCTTAATATTCCTGAGAAACAGCTCTTGAAAGTATTTCTGATTCAGAGAGTGTGATTTATTAATTACAGGCTTTTGTATGCACTTAAGTTATGGTGCAAAATGAAGCTTAAGAATCCCTTTGTTCATAAGTTTCAGATGCTCATCCAGGCTATGTACATGATGCTGGTGCTTTTCTAAATGTTTTCTGCATGTGCTAGTCTTCTCAGACTAGTACTGCTACCTGCAGACCAGAGAGGTGCAGCGTTTGCAGGTTGAGCCCTTTTTGAGATCAGTTTCTCTAGTCCTGTTTACTAGATTTCCTTCCTGGGGTATCACATCAGTGAACAGCTTTAATATTTCTTTTACAGAAATCTGCTTTATCACACAAATGTGCAGCATCTTTTTGTTTTTGTCTGCAGTCAGCCAGAATTACTGTAGTTGTTAAATATTCTTCCTTTATCCTTTTTCCTGGCAAGCCACCCCCATCCTGTCTTTGTCAGTGTGCACATTAGCACTGAACTACACAGAAGGCAAATGGGTAGCATCCTTCATCCATCTTCTTCTGATGTTTGCTGAATAACACAGGCAGAAGCTGAGGGAGTAAGTGCCCAGTTTCCTCCTCAACCTGAGCATTTCCTGGTCCTGTTTTCTCAACCTCAGCAAGATTTGTGAAGCAGGGAAGCAGTTATATCTATCAGTGGTCTGCCTTGTTGATCTGGAAACAAGAGACTCTTTTTCCATTCGTTCTGTCTGCAGACAGCAGCAGTGCTCTGAGCAAAGGATTGCTTTTTTTTCCTCCCCAACTGTATCAGTTGATGTAAAAAGTGCATATACATAGAGATACATGTATATACATACAACTAATCTTGCTTCTTTTGTGTCCTGTAAACAAAGCTGTTCCTGATAATAGTCTGACCTCTCCAGTTCCTTTCTTTCTGAATCATACTTCAGCTCCTATCTATGCAGGATCTGGAAACGCATTTCCAAAGCGAAGAGGGTGCCAGGAGAGTCACGGGGAGTGCTGAGAGTACCACAAACAGCTCAGCTCTTGTTACTAGGAAACAGCTGGGCAAGGCTTTCAGTGTCTCACCCAAGGCATGGATGTAACTTCTGCTGTTTACTTGCAGGTGCTCGTGTTAATGCCAAGGACAATATGTGGCTGACTCCTCTTCATCGGGCAGTTGCTTCAAGAAGTGAAGTGAGTAAGCTTTGGTTACACTGCTTTTGCACATAAACTCTGTGCTGGGGGAAAAAGCAAACCATTGAGAGCTGTAGTAAGTAGCACGGTGACACTCAGGGAAGCATCTGCAGTGTGCATGGCCTTTAGCATTGCAGCTGGAGGCCAGCTTTTACATTTAGTTATAGCTGCTTTTAAGCCTAATGTGGTTGATTTTCACCTTGTGGAATGCTTTACATTACCATAGCAAGTCATACTGAGCAACCATCAGCTGGAGTGGGTGACCAGGACAGAAATGGGATAGAGTCTGCAGGGGCTACATCATCTTTAAGTGGTGAAATAGAGGAATAAATCCATATGGATGTGTGCATGCTATGCATGTGCCAGGAGGGAGTGGATATGTATGTGATCCAACACGTATTACCACATAGTTTGTTTTGGTTAATTGCATTTCCAGGCATTCATTAGGTTTTCTGTTAATGCATTTGATTCATGCATAAAGAAGGGTTAGCCCATATTTCTTCTACTTGACAACTAGAAGTCTTCTGGCATCATGTTGTACTTCTTCCATTGCTATCTCAAAAAGGAGCAACAGTGTCAGGAATGCAGTTCAGGCATGACTGTTCTCAACTGCACCATTATGCTTGGCTTTCCATTTTGGACCTCCCTATATACTTTATCCTCCTAATACTTAGTTAACAGTGAGCCCAACTGCAGACCAAATTGGCTGCTGGGGACGAGAGGAGGAGTTGTAAAAGAGACAGAGGATGGCTGTCTTCCAGAGATTGATGGACTTGAATCACCTCTGTAACAGTCCCAGCGCTTGCCAAGCCTGGAGGCAGGAATCCTGGGCTTGCTTCTGAACTCGGGCATTGTTTGGCTGCTGGCTGAGCTTCCCAGCTGCTGGCATCCACTGAAACCCTCTGAAAGGAATATCTGATAGAGTATGAATGCTGTAATGAGGCAAAATACAAAAAGCCATGTTGGAAGACAAAGGTCAGACTCAAACCTTAAAACACAGCCACAATCTTCCTGATGCGGGAATTGCACTGTGCTTGGTTTCTTTTTTTGGATGTATCAGAGTACGTGATTTTCATTGTCAGTGACAGTTGTAACAGAAATGTATGCCTTTCTGTGGGTTTGTTCTCATCTTTAACTCTTTGTCAGCTGAAGGCCAATTGGACAATGAGAAACTGCCTTTCATTGTGCCAGCAGTTCTGTACCTCAAAGTGAGTACCCAGGTACAACAGAGAAGCAGCAGGGGAAGGCACCAGCCTTTGATGCCTTTTCATGGTCTGCTATGTATTTTCTAAACACATGTAGCTTTCTTCCCCAGTCTTTTTTCCTTGTTATTTGTATGATGATTGCTACTTTTGGTAATAACTTTGAAACAAGACTCAGCGTTGCAGGGGTTTTCAGTGCTGCTTTTACTTTACTACACAAACTAACAAATGTGCAGCTTCAGTATAATAGGGTGAAACTGATAGTGATACTAGTCAATAGCAGTAGGTGAATTCATAGTTCACATTGATAGTAGAAGAGGAATTCATGATCCAGAAGTTGACTAGTAGTGCTCTGTAGTTTTTGAAGTGCCTGTGAGCACAGTTGCTTTTAGAATGGTTACCTACAAGCTTTAAGTTTTATTATCAATCTCTTACTACAAAGCTTTCTTACTATAAAGGATTCAAAAGCTGTCTCCTTGCACTTTTTTATAGGTTTATTAAAAGCATGAGCCCATTTTTACTTAAGACTTAATGAGTTTTCAGGTGGGCTTTAAGTATTTCAAATGTTTATTTACAAATCAACAACCCTCAGGTGTGTCTGTGTAGGATTGTTAATGGATGTAGCAGCTTTCAGCTGTATGTGCTTTGAAGAGATTTCACTCTGATAAGTCGGGATAGCTGTTAGAGACTTACACCATAGCTGTGGACTGCACGCACTTTTAGATATGTTAATAAACAGGGATAGCTCATGCTCTCACAAGCAATAAATTTAAAACTTCTCCATCAGGACTTTAACATTCTGATCCCAAATCTGATGGAGCAGCGGATATGTAGAAGTAAACAAAAATGTGTAAATGGTTGCTGGTTTTTTTAAGCCTAAATATTTTTAGCTTATACTTTCTACTCCTCACTATTTACTTCTAAAAATTTTGCTTTAAGATTTCCTGCATTAAGAGCCAAAGTGCATGAACTTTCCTGCTGACTTCATGTCCCAGCTGGGCAGTCTCCAGTAGATTACATGACTTCTAAAACAGTAGATCTGTAATTAAAAACCAAAATCCTGTTGAGACATCAACAGTGATAAATCATTATTGGTGGTGTAAGAGATGCAGTGTTGCTAACTGAACAAATCTGTTAGAGGACAGTTTGAGAGATGGCTGTAGAAAATGAAATTGCTGAGATCAGTTGAGGATAAAGGACTAAACCTAGTAATGGATGTACTGTTGTAACAGACTGCAGGCACTCTCCTGGGCCATTCAGGATACTAAAGTGCTATATAAACACACTGTATGTGTTTGTCATTCATTAAGATTTTGGCTGGGCTTTCCAGAAAACTTTTCAATTTATGGCAAAAGAGTAAGGTACTATGTAGGACTAGGGCTCTCCCCTGCTCAATCACAACTTACCAGCTGTGAGTAGTAATTAGAAGACAAGGCTACTTGAATGCTACCGTGTCCCAGTGGTTCTTTTGTATTCTGTTTGTGGGGGAAAAAGGAAGAAACAAATGTAGTTTTGAGAGAGCCTTGTTTTTCCATCTGACTTGCTCAATGGCAGATGCATTAATAGAAGCAGAAAAGAACTAATTGTGAGTTCTCCAGTGAGACAGCCTCTCAAGAGAAAACAGGACATTTTCTCACTGGGAAATATTCACTTTTAAACCAAAAATTAACTTTAAAAGATGTTTTTTGATCTCAGGCTGGCAGAATGGATGTTGCAGTGAAGGCCCTTGGCCTTTGTATAGCCCTCAGGGGGGGAAGGAATGCTAATGCTAACTTGGGGACACCAGTATCTACCCTTGCCTGTAATTCTCATGTTTTTGCAGAGCTAAAATCTTATTTTCACGTATTCTGTTTTATTTTCTCCTTTTTCCTGTTTATAAATAGAACTTACAGCAATTTGCTGTGATTTTACTGTCCAAAATCATGTGCTTTTTGTTTTGTAAACAATCTCTGTGACAGTGAGTTCAAATAAGTACATGTATTTCTTCAGTGAGAGCATGATTATGACGGTGGAGGTACTGAAGGTTAACCAACTGAACAGTCTGGGCTCTCTGCATAGGCAGCTTTGTACATCTGAAAACCAAGTTGGGAAAGTTTGATTATGAGGACCCTGCTTTAAATGAGAGCAGAGGTGATGTGCACTCTGCCTTTTGAATCAACAATACCGTTTCACTAGCCTGGAAGGTTGTTTTGGTAAATGTTCTTTTTCCCTCCTCCTGGCCATGTCTGATATGCATAAATAATATGTGTAGGTAATATGATCGAGCTGTCAAGAAGGTGTTCTGTGCATTTATTCAAACTGCTTTGGAATAGACTTGTAGAATGATTTGGGCTGGAAGGGACCTTAAAGATCATCCAGTTCCAACCCTCTGCCATGGGCAGGGAAACCTCCCACTAGACCAGGTTGCTCCAAGCCTCTTCCAACCTGGCCTTATATATTTCCAGGGATAGAGCATCTACAGCTTCTCTGGGCAGCCTGTTCCATTGTGTCACCACCCTCATAGTAAAGTATTTCTTCCTAATGTCTGACCTAAATCTCCGCTCTTTCAGTTTTAAACCACTGCTCCTTGCCCTGTCACTACATGCCCTTGTAAAAAGCATGGATATAACTGTGTTGCCATTGCAGGAAGCAGTGCAAGTATTGATTAAGCACTCAGCTGATGTCAATGCTCGGGACAAGAACTGGCAGACACCATTGCACGTGGCAGCTGCAAACAAGGCAGTGAAGTGTGCAGAGGTCATCATCCCCATGCTGAGCAGCGTCAACGTCTCTGACCGAGGCGGACGGACAGCACTGCACCATGCAGCACTGAATGGCCACATTGAGGTGTGTTGTTTGCGAGCATAATTGATCAGTTGATTTCCAAGTTCAAACAGTTGGCCTGCTGTGGCTGGGTCTAGACTGAGCCCCATATCCCTGATCCTGTCATTCAACTGCTCTCCAAACTGTACGACAGGTTTCCTACCTGCCAAAATGAGTGAGTGACTGGAAAGTACCTGTGCAGAGCCAGCACACAAGTGAGGTGTGCATGCAGACATGGAGAGCTGGCTGTGCTACAGGTGTGTCCTTGGCTTTTCTGAGCTTGACTGCCTATGAACATGAGTGGCAGAATAACAAGGGAAAGCCAGTGGATTCATTTCATACTGAAGAAGTGTTCAGCTACATGAGCTCCAGTCAGTCTGCTTTTCTAATTAGTCTTCTAAAAAATGTGCTTCTGTTTTTGATACTTATCTTATACAGGTAAAGCCTTCCAGCCTAATTACTGTTTCTACATGAACCCCCCCCCCAATTTTTGTAAATAAAGCCTCTGTGTAAAGGGTTTTGCTAATGTCTTTAGGTACAGGTGCAAGGATCCTATATGTCAGTTCCACACCTGAAGATCTACATATGGAATAAAAACTCTTAGACTTGACCAGTAGGCTTCTGTCAACGAAAGTTGATCAGTTGTACTGTAACTAAAAAAAAGGAAGAGGAATGGTAGTTCCTGTAAAATTATGATGGTGTTTGGCCTTTAAAATACTGCACTGTAGGAAAGAGATAGTAAAGCTTCAGTCTAACCATCATAATCTAGAGCTCCTGAGCTTTTGGATAGAGTATATCAGAAATGTTAACTGAATGTATGCTGTTATTAGCCTATCTCTGTGGCAGAGCAGTGCACAAGAGGAATATGATCGCCTAGCTCTGTAATTTATTATTTTAGAATGTTTTACTGAAAAAGACAGTTGTTGAACGTGTTTTCTGTTCAATTCCCTTGCCCCCCCCCCCCCCATTTCATTTTTCTTATCTTTAATGTTGGATGATTGACAATGGGGAAAGCAGCATTTCACCTACTATCAATGCTGTCTTAAAGGCCGGTGTCATATGAAGCAGCCTGGTGCCTGTCCACACCACCACGGCACATGGGAATTTAATAAAAATCACCATGGCATGGCAAGAAATAGGAATTCCTTGTTGAAAGATCATGCGGATTTTAGGGTTTGTCACCTCATGGTCTGGACGAATCTTGTCCTAATCCACAAGAGAATCACTTAAATTGGTTTTAGGAGCAGTGTTTCTCTTCCAGGCCTGCTTTACTTACAGGTTGCCTGCCAAGCTGAATGTAGTAGCACCCTGCATGCTCTCAGCCCCCTCTCTGCACACAGAACTTGTCTGGGTTACTTGTGACCATCACCAGTCCCTCTCATGAATGTACTCAGCTTTGAAAGTATTTGTGTAATTCACAGATTAATCACTGAAAAGCAGGATTTTGTGATCCCAACTCTATTGCTAGAATTATTTGTTATAAACTGGTTAACCTACAGGGTTGGTTTACTTGTTACTTCTAGATGGTGAATTTGCTCTTAGCCAAGGGAGCAAACATCAATGCTTTTGACAAAAAGGACAGAAGAGCTCTTCACTGGGCAGCGTACATGGGTAAGGCTTGCATTGTTGCTCCTTCTTTTTAATTTCCTGTTCACAAATCAACAACAAGTTTTAAAATGGACAAGAGCAGACCTGGCCATGTAAAGTGAGTGTTATATTTACCCTGAAGAGGGAAGAGTTCAGCCGGTCTAAATAACACACTCTCCATTTATGGTTTTACAGCTGGTGAGGACTTGGCTGTGATTTCCTTTCTAACATGGTTTTTGTGTTGCTTTTTTCATTTTGGGCTTTTTATCCTGACTCTAATTCCAGCCTGAGACAAGTTTGGGCTTGAAAAAATACATTATATTTGTTGTATTTGTTTCAGTTTTTGATAAAAATTACTTCATAGAAAATGCAGATAAATGTGATCATAAATTTTGCTGTTTATCTATGTTTATAAGTAGCTAAGTTATGATATTGTTAGGAAATGCTTCATAGGCTTTCTTCCTGTTAGGAACAAATTGTTGTCTTTTATTCCAGAAGGGACAAGAACAACTGATCCATCTATTCAAAACATCAGTGATGTTACCAAATATTCCTTAATTAAATCAATTGACCTTATTATTTCTTTCAAGTTAAAGGAGACTTTATTACAATGGGGCTTTGTAATTTAAAAATACCAGAACAAGATTGCCTGTGATATCGGTCACACTTGTCCAGGAGCTTTTGTTGGCCAGGCAGTATATTCCAGATAATAATTGGTGAGGTGCTGTGTGCCCTCAACCAGCAACTCTTTCATCTGACCTGTTAAATCTTGATGTTAATCTTGGCGCTTTCGGAAATGAGAAAATAGGAGATTTCAAACTGTGGGAAAAGCATATTATGCTTTTTTTTTGATGTACACAGACAGATGGAGGGACTCTTGCCAATGAATGTGATACGGCTTTCGAGCTAGCGAGCTTTGAACTTTCACTCTGTAGAGGTGAAAGGACTTACATTGTGCTGTGCAATTCCACATATTTTTTTCTCCTAATTATTTTCACTAATGCATAATGTACCTTTCAAAATATTTAGATAACATTTAAGGCCTAAATTAGCAATGTTGTTTAGGAGTCTGTGGTGTAATTTGGACGGAATTTAGATAATGAGACCCAAGCGTCTTATCTTCGTGTAGTTTCTTGAATGCTTAAATATCTTTGGGCACTTCAGACTTTGTCCGTACGGTTTCCTAGGTCCTGCACATGAGCAGAACTGCCTATCAGGAAAGCGTTGTACTACTCAGATGGTGCACAACTTTATGTGCTGTTTGATATAATAGATTTTTAATTCTAAGATAGCTTTGCTTCAACGTGATGCAATAAGGACTGTTCCTCAGTTAGCCTTGATTTAATATTGGTGGTTAGGGCACTATCATGGAAAGCAGGCCAGTTGGTTTGAGACCTACAGGAAGAGGAGGAAGCTGGAGATACTGGTGGGTTATAAGTTGCATTTTGAGATGCTTAGGTCTTCCCTTACATTCTGTAGGGATATCCTAAGTCAGCGCTAGGCATTTCACTCCAGAAGACAGATGTCACATTGATCTGGCAGTCAGCTCTCAATCTCTGTGATGTTGAGGCTATTGCAGTTATTTTAGCTTGCAAACTGAGTGTATGTGTACAGACTATGAATTTAGATTCAAACATTTTTAGACCTATATTGAGGATTTTTTGCACAGTTTTGTGTTAATGATACAGTTTTGAAAAGTCAACAACCTGATCCAAAGATCAGTGGATTCAGTAGAAAATCTTGTGTTTGTATTGGGAGGCTTTGGATTAAATGCTGCACTCCCTTGAAATTTAGCTTTTTATCTCCTCAGTTGTGCTAGAAAAGAGGAGATACCTTCATTTTGATCATTTATTAAAGTTATTTTGTATTGCTAATGAAAAACGAGAAGTGTTAGAAGTTATGTTTGCAAATTACATCAACAGGATGCTGGTTTGTATTGTCATGCTTCTGTGCTCACTGTTTTTTCTTTAACAGGGAGAATAAACTTCAAACTGTTATTTTTAGAGAAATAAATAGGAAAGAGGTGTGGTTTTGTTCTTTTAATGACTGGAAAACTAATACAGGAAGGAGAAGTTTGACACATCTGGTGATGGTGAATGCATGGATTTCTTGACAAGGATTAGGAACATCTATGAAAATGCTTTTCTTCCTGTTATAAAACTGTGGCTTTTTTGCCTTATAAAAATGCTTTTTTTTTCCCCTCATAAAACTTACAGCATTGTGAAACAGCAAAAGGGGCAATGCATTAACTAGAAAGAAGTAATTTGGGAGAAGTGATGCTGTGGGATGGTATATTCATTGATTACTATCTTTCATCTTTTGAAGGTCACCTGGAAGTTGTTGCCTTACTGATAAATCATGGTGCAGAAGTGACTTGTAAAGACAAGAAGGGTTACACCCCACTTCACGCAGCTGCATCCAATGGGCAGATTAACATTGTGAAACACCTCCTTAACCTGGGGGTAGAGGTATGTGGTCATGTGCTTCCATGTTGCTCCATATTTGAGGTATTATTTTCTTCTTTACTGTGGATGCTGCTGCAGTTATTGGCAGATTTTCTAAAGAAAATTGGTCCCATTTTCTGTACCACCTTGTGCTTCATGTGTTTATTAGTGCAAGAGCCAGGAAACATTCTGGAATAAAAGCGTCTGATATGGACAGTAAGTTTCAGGCCACCTTGCTGAAGAAACCAGGAAATACATGCTGTTCCTGCAGAGGAAGACGGAATAATGAAATTTCCCTTGGCTCAGTGTTCCCCTTGATATGATGAATGGTTGTTCTCAACATATACGCTGCAAACTTCACTAAACAGCAGTTCAGGCTGTTTAAGTTTAGGACCTGTATTTCCTCTGCAGCTGACAGAGGGAAGGAAAAGATTGCTTTAATTCTGGAAAAGAACTTTTATTCAGGGCACAGACTTCTCTTAGCATAATATTGTCAAGTCAGTGGTTCAAAGCAGCAGTGAGATGACCAAAAGAGCCTGCACTGGTTAATCAGAGATTTCAGATAAAGCTATCGCATTTGCCATGGCATTTTCAACTGCCAAAAAAATGTCAGAAGTCCATCTTCACAGGCTCCAAACTGTGCAGTTGAAGGGAATAGGTGTTTCCTGATATTACCAGTATTATGCTCATAGCTACCTTTAACTTCCACATTCTGCACCACTGGGGGTGTGATCTTTGAGAAGTCTTATTTTGTGGAAGGGTATTCACATCACTGCTGAATCTTTTGTACAATCTGTCTTGTCCTGTTTTACAGAACAGCAGTTGAATACAAAGCCAGTCATCAAGAAGTAACATAATCTGAATTACATCTTTATAATGCTGAGCTACCGAAAGTGGTTTCTTATTGAAGTGTAAATGTCTGTTCAGTTTCACCTTCCCTTAACTCAAACACCTTCATTCCCTTCCCAAAAGAAATCTGTAAAAAGAGTTCTTAAGCCTCATTCTGTTCACAGAAATTCTGTAGTCAGTGTTTTAATTCCTTTTTAATAAAGATTGTGAGCTTTTTATTTATCCTACTTACATGTGAAGGCTTTCCAGCTTTTGTCATCATCACTATCATTACATAGCCCTGCTATCAGTGTAAGCTTCATACTGGCTTTTAGAAATGGCCAGTAGGGTAAAAAGCTAATAATAGCAAAGGTAAAGCATTCCAAATTAATCTCTCTGGGAGTATATTTTTGTCAATGAAATTCTCTGGTGAGAAATATGCCCTGTGACAGGTCAAGCCTCCAGCTATTTCCATTTGCAGTATGTGATGTGTTATGTAAAATGATTAGCTATGTCTGTAATTTTAACTACGTCTCCTTGTCTCATTTTAGATTGATGAAATGAATGTCTATGGAAATACTGCACTTCACATTGCCTGTTACAATGGTCAGGATTCTGTTGTTAATGAGCTGATTGACTACGGTGCTAATGTAAATCAGCCTAATAATAATGGATTCACTCCCTTGCATTTCGCTGCTGCCTCTACTCACGGAGCACTGTGTCTTGAACTACTAGTGAATAATGGGGCAGATGTTAACATTCAGGTAAAACTTGCATTGCAGCTCTTTAGTTTTGCTTTATCCTGTTTTGCATATCTCAGGAGACTGGAAACTCTAGTAACAAGGACAGCATGGCTTTAAATCCTTGATGGAAGTAGAGTGATGTTGAGCAAATTAATCATTAAATTGTTTGGATGAGACTGCTTCCCAGCAGAGGAGTTCTCAGTACCTTGATAAATATAATGACAGCTTTAAACTCTAGGCCAGCCACTCACCTGAAGGCATGAATTACTACTAAAATATAGTTCCAGGAGCTCTATCAAAATGTTATCTTGGGTAGTGGTGGTAAGTGAAGGAACTTATTTGCTGGTGTTTTCCTTCCCCTACGGTATGCATTTAATTAAACCTGGTTCTAAAGAGTTCCTTTTGATTTTCCTGGGGAAGTAAAATCTAAAGTTTATTTACCTGTTTTAGAGCCTGAGTTTTATGAAGTCTGATTCTTTTAGGATATCTGAACGTTATTGAGATATAATTGATGCATCTTGATGAATCTGAAAGGGCCTTGCTGTTAACCCACAGAGAGTACTGGTATACATAACAGAAGACTTGACATCTCTGAGTTCATATAAGATTTTCACTGCTGTACTTTAAATTGTGTGTTTCAGTTTTGCATCTGTAAAAGGGGTCTCTTAGCATTTAATGCCTTTGGCAAGTCCCTTTAGATCAGTAGTCAGTGCATTACTTAAACTCAGAATTATTAAAATGAACTTAGGGATGGTGCTAGCCAAGGAATGCAAAATCCCCATGCCAATAAACACAAAGTGATGTGATTAGTGAGACTGCTACCCTTTTCCTTGCTGTTTTGTCAGCTCCTCTGCTTCCCCTATCTCAGTTTCTTTCTCTAGAACAAAAACCATTAATCTTTACTCATTGTACCTTTCCTTTCACATGCCTTCCCTGTTTTCTAATGGTATTTTGTAGACATCCTATTTTTGATTGCATGGAAATTTATTAACCAGAACTTTTTAATATAATGGGGTTTATTCTGGGATGTATCTATAAAATGCAGATTGATAAACAGGATATAGTTCTTGAATCCCTCAGAGAATGTCATACTTAATTTTATGCTTCCTCTGTTAGGGAAAATATTGACCAAATTGGAAATGTTACTTAAAAATAATACTAAAGGATAATATGTTATAAATCTATAGTTTCTAGCATGTATTGTGTACAGCCAGGTTGTAAGGTCATGCTCTACTCCAGCCCCTTTGCTACTCATTGCTGAGGAACTATTTTACTTGTATGCTTATACTTTCAGCATTTATCATCATGTATAGCTTCAGTCCTACAGACTTTTGAAGCCAGTGGAGGTTTTGTCTTAGGATGTTGAGCTGAGAGACTTCAAACTGTTACCACCACTTTACATGCTAAATGATTGGGTTTCTGTTTTGTTTCTGTTAGAGTAAGGATGGGAAGAGCCCATTGCACATGACAGCCGTCCATGGGAGGTTCACACGGTCACAGACCCTCATTCAGAACGGTGAGTTTCTGTGCTTAACAACTCTCCAAAAAATCAGGCATTTCCAAGGTAGCAGTGTTTAGTTGTTCTAACCCAGGGTGCCAAAGGTCTGCTCTGAGAGCTGCTTAGCTCTCCATTGGCTTCTGGGTTTGAGCTGCACTGACAGCTCTCACTCCAGCATGTCATTACAAGCTGAGATTTTGGTTGTTAACAGAATCCCTTTTTCGTCCAGCTGACAGTGGTCCAGCTGATCTATTGTGATTCTTAACCTGAAAACAAGAGTTCAATGCTGTACTTAGGTCTTCCGCTGAGAAGCAGGCACAACTTTCTTTCTCAAATGACTTAAAAACTGGAAAATAAATGGTTGCTCTCCCTTGGGAGCCCCCATGTTCTTAGAATTTGGGCCGTTTCCTCTACCCTCCACTCCGTAACTGTATTTCTCTCAGCTCCCTTAGCTCTACGCCTTGCCACTGTCTTCATTAAGTGTTGAATAAATACTCAGGAGGGTGGACCAGTGCCAACTTGTTTGTTCTGGCATAGCCAGGATTCCTGATTATCAGTCATTTATCAGGTATCTCCTTTGTCCAAGAAATCTACAAAGTATAACAAATATTGTTGTTGGAGATCTGGCAGAGGCCTGTTTCTGATTGACACAGGCTGCTGTTACTGCTTGTTTACTTATGCTTCTCAGCTTTGGCCACTATACCAGACAGGATGGTCTGTGGTTCGTGGTTTGGTTCTGTTGTTTTCCAAAATCCTTAACTTGAAACCTAAGTGTGAGATATTGAAGATGGCTGAACAGTTACACTGTAAAGGTAGTGACACCTATATTTACACACAATTGTATGTTAAAATGGAGGTCTTCAGTACATCATGCTTCTTTCACGTCATCATGGAAACTGTTGTCATATCTCTTCTTGCATAAGTAAAATAGTCATAATAAAAGGAGTTTGGGCAAACTGAAGAAACTGTGCTTTAGTGCAATTTTTTAGCTGTTTAGTCAAATACAGTCTCTGACTTAAGAGCTGTTGTTTGCTCTGTGTTGGATTTGTGTGTGAAAGGACTGGAAGTTCTTCATCTGTCATTCATGCCTCTCTACTCTTCTTCAAGTTACTTGGGTTTCGCTTCTTTCTTCATTTGCTAGCCCTCTAATTTTAGTGTTGTGCACAGATCTGATTGCAAGTGACTTTATGCCTCATTGCCATGGGATATCGTGGAAGAGAGAAATGTAAATGACTTTAAGAAATGGAGTTTCGTTCTGCCGTACTTAATGGGCTGGCTAAGGATCTCGATTCCTGGCTGCTGTCTCTCGTGACTTGTAGAGGAAGAACTGATTACCTTTAAATTGGAAGGTTGCAAATGTAACACCTATCTTTAAAAATGGTGAAAAAGCAAAGCTGGAGAATTTCATAGGTCAGCCAAAATTTCCGACATCAGCAAATGCACAAACTGTTTGTAAACACTTGGGGAGGAGTGGGCAATATCTGGCATATATTGCTCAAGAGCAGAAGATGCCAAAACATCCTAATTCTCGTCTGCTGCAGGGTAGTAGGCTTCGTGATCACAGTCCTCTGACTTTTCTGTGGGAAAGTAATGTTTGTCACCCCAGGGAAACTGTCCCAGCATTTCACTGACCTTTATCTACAGTTAGAAAATGCCATATAATGCTTTAGTGGAACTCTTCTTGTTGCAGTTATGACCTGTTATTGTTGACGCAGGAGTCACGGACAACGCAGAGAAGATCAATGTGATCAAGCGATTGCCAAATTTATGACAAAGCCTTAACTCCTTATATGCTATTTCTTACATGCACTTACAGTGATTTGACATATTATGATTGGATACATGTCTTGAAGACCCTTGGTGACTAACATATAATTGGTTAAGCACAGGTGTGAGAACTTGACGTCGAAAGCTTGCCAACAGTCCACAGTTCTCATTAACTCAGTGAATTCCAGCTTCTTCTTATCTTGCTTGCTTAAGCTTCCTTGGGCCTCTCATGGCCTTGCTGTATCTTTCAGGATTATTCAGAGTTTATGTACCAATTATCCATTCTCCCGTGAGAACACTGTCTCCACATCTCCCCCTTTTTGTTTTATATATGTTTTGGGTGACTCTACTTGAGCAGGGGATTTGGGCTAGATTATATCTCCAACATATGCCAACTACAGGCTGCTGGGCCTGCCCCTTTTTTCTCCTGTATGGCTCTCTGATAACAGGGGAGGCCATCCTTCACATCAAGGTCTGGCATGGCATGCGTCCCCACCGATCCATGCCTGCTGGGTTGCAGCCAACAGCGGAGATAAAGGTTCTTCTTGGTGGCAAACACAGAGGCCAACCCAGTCTTGCCCTTGATTGTGGTAGCAGGCATTTTGTCAGCCTCAGTCCTTGCACCTTGTTGTCAATGCAGAGTTTCACCTGCTTCATCCAGTAACAAGTCGCTACTACAGCAAGGCACACACAGATTTACATCAGCAGAGTAACTATTACAGGGTGCAGCAGCATGTTGAAGATGCTGATGACAGCGAGGGACTAGCCAAAGAAATTTCTTACCAGTGGAATTCTCCCACCCTCTTAATTTGTTCCATCACCTGCTTTATAACACTACGATTGTATTAGAATCTTTCCAGCTTTTGCCTTGGCATTTTCTAGCAGCTACTGCAAATTTCCATACTCTAACATCTCTTTTACATGTGACAAATCTATACAATACAAGGTGTAGTTCCTCATTAGCAACTGGCTAGTAAATACAGGTGGTTTTATACACAAAATCACAGCCTCTAATAATAGCTACTTTACAAGCACACATATTCAGGATGTTACTTTTCAGTTGCCCCCAAGTGATGTTCTGCAATTATTAGCTTTTCTCTTCCTCTATCTCATTCTGCTTGGGGTATTCACGGGCAGCTCCTGTAGCTGAGGCATCAGGTTCCTCCATTCGTCTGTCCAGCTCATGGCAAGGCTTGACAAACTTTGCAGGCAGTCGCCATGGACCTGTAGGCAGGAGGACACAAATATAGTCCCTCCTCCAGGTTATCAGTTCCTGAGCAGCAGACAGGTTAAACTGCACATTGTTAACAGTCACGGAGTTTGCTGCATCATTGCCTCTTTCTTTTTTTTTTTTTTTTTCCTGCCACCCTGATGCTGCTTAGGTGACGGCCCATAAAGCTTGTGTGCTTGCACTACCCCTCTCGCTTTTTTAGTTAGCGGTTCTTATTTCAACGGATCTATCTATTCCTCCAAGTCTTGGATTCACCCCCAGGTTACCTTAACCATACTAAGCAAGGCTCCTACCACGCACCCACTGTGTTGCAGGTGCTCTTTAGGCTTTGTCTGTGGTGTCTCTACGAACTGCCTCAATAGACTGAGAGGTTGGGGCTTTTTTTATTTTTTTTTGGGGGGGGGGTGGTGTTGTTTTTTTTTGTTTTGTTTTTGTTTTTTTTTCACTCCTGGGCTCTGGCTTTCATCCTGACTGTTCCACCAGTGGAGCACCGAGAGCTGAATCAGAGGGCAGCTTTTTTTTTTCTTTTTTTCTGAACATGGGTACCAAACTCTTATCAAAGAATTTTTTTTTTTTTTTTTCCCCAAAGTCACTCACCCTGCTTTGCACAGCTACAAACGCCGGCCTGCTCGGCAGCAGCTACAGCTGCCTGCCTGCTTCAGCAGCAACCATAAATACCTGCCGGCAACCGTGCTTTTGCATTAACCCTTTCTTGCCCGAAATGTTAAACTGCTACCAGTTAAAAACTTTTACATGAACCCAACACCAAAAAATACACAGAACACCGTCTGCCCTCAGCGCGCGCACACACACACACACACACACACACACACACACAAACACACACTTATGGGATCCCACAAGCACCCTCCACACAACTACAATATTTGAAGCACAAAATCCAGACAATCATTACTCCCACTACAGTCCCACGTACAGAACGTGGCACAAGGACCCTGTAGAGACTAACAGGAAACCAGCTCCGAGAAGCAACATTGCAGTGCGAGGTGGCAGGTTCATCCTTAGCGGGCGTCCCCGCAGAGGCTCTGCCTCCCCCACATCGCATGAGGCTTGGGTTTTTATACTGACCAAAATGCACACTCATTCCGACACAGGTGGCCAGCCTATGTTGGAAGAAGTGGCCAGAAATATCTATAAAGGTCTCCAAAGATCTATAGAAACCTGGACGTACTTATATTTACCAACTTCTAGTACATGAGTATCACAGAGAAACTGTATTAAATGAGTTGTATATGGGCTCCCAAGTCCACGGTCCGTCACAGTATGCCCAATACCCCTGATAAGAGCATATGAGAGACCTTCCCACCACCAGAAAATCACACAATATGTCTGTATCCCGCGCTGATCTCGCTTCCCTGGGGTTTTGGGGGAGGGGGGCGTGGGGGTGGTGGGTGGGGTTTTGTTTTGTTTTTGTTTTTTTTGTTTTGTTTTGTTTTGTTTGTTTGTTTACTTTAATGTAAAAAAGGTTGCTCCCTTCACTTTAAGAAGGACTGAAAACATCCATAAAACGGATGTCCTGAGCTCAAATTTCAATTCATTCAATCACTGACAAGGGGGGTGTCCTGGAGCGGTGCTGACTCTTTCCAGGGTTTCACCCATCGAGCTGGCACCCACCGCAAACCGGAATTTGTAATTTACACACATATAACCTCAACCTGTTAGTTTTACTTCCGCAGGACCTTTCCAAATGCTGGTTTCCAAATCCTTGTACTGGACCAGAATACCCGGAGTTTTAGTCATATAACCTGAACCTGATGCCTGACCATGTATTATAGCAGGGGAGTCATTAAAGTCTCCTGTCAATTGCAAAAAAAATCATAACATATACAGCTTGAGTATAAGAGGATTTTAACCCATATGTGGTCACTGCTTGTCAAGCCTCCTTAACTATTTTGAGATCAAAAGCTTCCCACTCTTTAACCCCCTGCTATGTAGTAAACACAGGATATGCAGAGAGGCCCACTGCAGAAAATTCACCTGTAATAATTGCATCTTTGATTAACCCGTGCCAACGGTGCGCAGGATTTGTGCCCCCCGATACCTCTCCCACCCCCTCCCCCTGTTTGCCTTCTTTAAGGAAGGGGTTTTGCGGAGGATAAGGTGGAGGCGCCGATGGAGATGTCTCAATCTGAGTCTCGAGGGCTTCAAGCTTTTTCATCAATTGTTGCAGCTGAGCGTCTCCAAGGCCAGTGAGTAGTTGCTGATGAGCTGAGCAGACCAACCCGGGAGACGAAGAGTCAGAGTCTGGAAGCAGAGGATATAAATCTGGCTGGGATTCAGGGGACTCGGAGTCTGATCCTGGGTTGAACTCAGGGTCTCCGTCATTCGCAGCTATGCCTTTCTTGTCAGGTGTCTCTCGTTCGGTGCATGCCCATCTGTGACCTGGCTCTTGCTTTCATCGTCTCGGGGCGTTGATTTTTTTCGGCGCCGTTCCAGGTACCACTGGAGGTGCAAAAGTCAGAGCCGCAGCACTGTGATGGGGGTGAGGGGAGACAGCCCCTTCTGGAGCTGTGGCGGCAAATACAGAAGCTACCGCCGCCCTTTCCAATTTCATCTTTCGAAGTCTCAAACACCAATCTCCAAAGTGTAGAGTGTTTCTGTGCATCTTTGGTCCCTTTACTAACCTCGCGATCACGGGACCACTTTAACAGCCTCTGTAAGGCGGCACTATCGTATTGCAGTCCTCACTTAGAGAGAATGTGCTGGAGGAGCTTCACCACCGCCTGTTCCTCTTTGGATAGCAAGTGCCCCATCTCCTCCCCGGCCGCTCACCTGATCAGGGCGAGATCCCCGAAGTTTTGCAGACATCTGACTTCTCAGCGCCGGGGCAGCTCTGACTTTCGGCTGGCTCTCCGCCCCCTCCTTTTCGTCGGACCTTCAAACTCGTGTTCGTCGAGTTACCGATCGGAGGGTTCCTGTTCGGGCGCCACTTGTTGACATGGGAGTCATGGACAACGCAGAGACGATCAATGTGATCAAGCGATTGCCAAATTTATGACAAAGCCTTAACTCCGTATATGCTATTTCTTACATGCACTTACAGTGATTTGGCATATTATGATTGGATACATGTCTTGAAGACCCTTGGTGACTAACATATAATTGGTTAAGCACAGGTGTGAGAACTTGACGTCGAAAGCTTGCCAACAGTCCACAGTTCTCATTAACTCAGTGAATTCCAGCTTCTTCTTATCTTGCTTGCTTAAGCTTCCTTGGGCCTCTCATGGCCTTGCTGTATCTTTCAGGATTATTCAGAGTTTACGTACCAATTATCCATTCTCCCATGAGAACACTGTCTCCACATGTTATCTCCTATGTATGGAGTCGACATGCAGTAAATATTATATCCTGATGTTAGCAAGATTTTTTTATATGCTTTCATAAAGTATTCTCACAGAAAACCAGTGGAGCATTAAAATGTCACTGTGCTGGTGCATAACTTGTTGAAAAACTACACTCCGAAATTAGTAATAAATGGATTGTTGTTGAAATGGAAGGTGTAGTGAGGCAGTGTTCAGTTTCCCTCCTGGACCTGGAACTGTCCAGTATTTTCATTAACAACTTGGACAGAGGAATAGAAAAATGTGCTTTTAACATTTGGAGAAAACACAAAGTTGGAAGAGACTGTTAGTTTGCAGAAGGTGGATTCAGAATGGAAAACGATCCTGTAAAATTGGAGACAGAAGTTATAATGCAAGTAAAGCAAAGCAAAGATCCCGCACAAGCAGGAGTAGCCATTAGACAAGGTCAGAATGACAACAGCTGGGTGGGTGGCAGCTCATCAGGAAAGGATCTGGGGCTTGCAGAAGGTCAGAAGCTTGTGACCACAAGTCAACAGTGCCATGGTGCTTAGAAAAATGATCAGCAGTGTACATGTTGCTGTGCAATGTACAGGGGTGTATAGATAAGAGCGTAGCCAGCGGGCATGAAGTAATCACTTTGCTCAGTTCAGCATTAGGAGATGTCGGCTCTAGTACTGTTTCTGGCTTTTGACATTTCACTTCCAGAAGGATGTGGGCCAGCTGGAGTGCAGCAAACCTGACTTACAAGGAAAGACTGAAAAAGTTACAGTTCCTTGGTCCAGAAAGAAAACAAGGGCCTGATAGCAATCTTGTGTGGGTCAAAAGCTGTGGCAGAGAAGAAAGAAATAATATGTGAGCATAAACCACAAGATGACAGGTTTAAATTGCAACAGTTCTACTTAAGCACTGTTTGGTTGTTCTTTTGTAAGGCACAGAAAAGGCAAAGGCACACAACCTGCTTGTTGTTTGTAGTGTGTTCCTGCTGGCCTCTGGAGCGAACTCTATTTAACATTGCTGTCTTACAGGTAAGGTTTAGTGGCAGTGCTTTTATGAATGAGGGTGAGTTTCAGCAGTTTATTTTGCTAGTTTAATTCAAAGCATCCATTTGTGCCTTTAGATGAGCAGCAAGTGTGAATCATGTACTTGACCGTGGTATTTCATCCTGCTCGCCTATTTCCCACCACTTTTCTTCATCACTGTAGCTGGAGAAAGAGGTGAAGGTGATGCTACCACATCACATTCAGTACCAGTGGCTGACAGCTGGCAGCTTGCTGTGTGCTGTTTCTTGGTCTCTGAAATTTGGTGTCTCTGTGGCTGGATTGGTGATGCTGCACTCGCTAGAGAGAAATAGCATTTGTGGTCACTGGTTCATGCTTAATCTTTCAGTGTTAAATGGTATGAAAACGTTTTTTGCAGGAGGGGAAATCGACTGTGTTGATAAGGATGGTAATACCCCTCTACACGTGGCTGCAAGATACGGACATGAGCTTTTGATTAACACCCTCATAACCAGCGGAGCTGATACTGCCAAGTAAGCGGCTGAAGCAGAGCTGTTTCTGACGATCAAGTGTTATGTCCAGTGCCTGGAAACAGAGTTACTTCTCAGGTTCTGAAGTGTGAAGGTTAAAAGGGATGAGTATAAGCATAAGTGTGCTGTACTTCTGTGGGAGACATGAGGCTAATGGATGAACACTTTGGAAGTGTGGAGGGGAAGGAAACCCTGCTAAGTTCCTATTGTACCTATTTACATGATTACAAGTGCTGCTTCTTTTTCCTGCAGCACTGATGTGGCACAGTGGTATATAACATACATGAAAGACGTATGTATGTAAAGTGCATCTTGATTGCATAAAGATATAAGAAGTCCATAGCAATGAATTTGTACAGGAAACATAACTGAAAAAAATTCAGATGCTTGCCAAGGGTATTGTGAGCATATTCCTTAGTATCTAAACTAGCTTAATGGCCTCTCATACATGGTGATTCATAGAATCATAGAATAGTTTGGGTTGGAAAGGACCTTAAGATCATCTAGTTCCAACCTCCCTGCCATGGGGAGGGACACCTCACACTAAACCAAGTCACCCAAGGCTCTGTCCAACCTGGCCTTGAACACTGTCAGGGATGGATTAGTCTTTTGTTTTGTGTCTTTTGTTTTGTATCTTTTGGTATGACACAGGATAATCAATATAAATGCAGTATTGCAAAGCAGGTGTTACTAAGTATTTCTAATCTCAATAGAAGTAGAGCCTGTCTTGATGTTGCATGGTTTCTGATATTCAGGTGGCTGAAATAATAGGACTGCTTTTATCTGATTTGTGAGTTTGGGAGTCTTTTTTTCAATAGAAGGACAAGGAATTGAAATTACACACATTTCTAAATGCAGTTAGTGCTTTCTGCTTCGGTTCAATTCTTTTGTCTTGCACATGTATCAAGACTTTACCCACAGTATGATAACCATTGTCAACTCAGACATGACAAGTACTTGATTTTTAAGAGTACTTGAATATTGGTTAGTTATCTTCATGTTCTTATGATCTGTCAAAGGAAAATAGCAAACCTGAAGGTAAAGAAAGGGGTATAAGACCAAAGTAATGCAATTTCATGAGGGATATTTGTACCAGGTGTTTAATTGCAGCATCTGATTTAATGAATGTCAGGTTTTGGCGGCTACCTCCACATGTCTCTGAAATATAATTTAGGAGTTCTCTACCCAGAACCTACCATAGGAACTGGTGATGTTTCTTGACTTGCCTAATTAGGAAAACCTGCTTGCAGATGCAAATGAGCTGGTTTTGATTTTGAAGATACATGCAGCTTTTCGTACTTACTTGTTTACTTAATGGTGTTTGTGGCACATTTGCTCATATTCCTTTATCAAGTACAACTGCCACCATGCAGACTGGTGTGGAACAGCTCTTCAAATGGCCTGGATAATGAAATTCCACAGGCTTCAGCTAACATCACTGGGGTTTATTAACATGGCCAGAATGAAGATCTTGGTGTCTAAATAGATGTGTATTTTTCCTAGCTCTTTCTCCAGTACAGTAATACTCTTATCTTGAGGTTTAAAGGTAAAATGAGATGCAGTGGGGTAGTCCACTCTTGGAATCAGGGTTATCCAGTTAGAAATTTCTATTTCACACTTGGGTGACTGGAGCATTGATCAAATCAAATACTTTTTCCAGCAGCAGAAATAAGTGATATAAGAAGTTGTCTCTAAGATACCAGGCAGATCTGAGTGATGCTACTGTCTGTGCTGAACAAGGAGCATTGAAACTCTGGGAATGGGCTTTCATATGTGCTGCATGTAAATAACTGGCTGAGCTCCCTGAACTGGCTGTGACAGTTCTGCAGTGTTGTTAGCAACAACTGCAGACAGATCAGTCAGCCTCTGAGGCAACTGCATTTAAAGGGGAAAGTGTGTAAGTGATGGGAGGAACCAGTGTGAACAGCAGTACGGAAGTGTGACACTGGTTAGCAGATGTGCAGATAGTGATTTTTGATGGAAACTGGCCAAATCATGTGCTGAGTGGAAATCTTGACCTAAAAGAAGAAAAATACTGCTTCAGGTAACTAGGTGGAGAAGATAGAGAGAAATAGGTGTAGGAAGAAGCGCAGCAATACAGAATGTCCAATGTTAGCTTAAATAAATGAGAAAAATGCAATCTGTTTATACAGATACAGCAGTTTGGTGGAACTTGTGCTGTTCCTTTCAAAGAATAGGCTGTCAGGTCATCTTTTAATATATTTACTCTTAGACGTAGATTGCTGACACTAGCAAAATTAGAATCTGTACAGCACCACAAGTCACTCGGTAGTGTAGTGCAGCAGTGAGGAGGACACATTTGGTGTGAAGACAGAGGAAAGATGAACCTGTGGATTCTGGAAACCATAAGCTTTTTAAAGACAAGCAAAACTTAGCAAACACATTTATGTATAAAGTGTTGGAGAAAGTATAAACACCCACCTTCACTTTTGTCTAAAGCTTTGTAAACTATTATGATTTACTGTGAGTCTTGCAGAAAGACAAGTTCCTTCATCTCTGGATCCCTATCTGACATCCTCTTCCATGAAGTGATCATACTCACCCATCCACCATCTTCCAGAAATGAAGGGCAGATATGAATCCATCTGCTATTGTTCAAGAGCTTGTCATTTGTCAAAAATATATCTGCTGAAGCAGGCAGGAGATGCTAATCTTGTTGAGATAGTTGGTTTCAGAGGTTCTGTGTTTATGTGCACTTGGAGGGCTGCCGGTAGGATAGTATCTCTAGACTAACAAGATGCTTCTCACAAAACAATGCTAAATGACAGTAGCCAAGATGTCCAAACCCAAAAGTCTTCTGAGACTGTAAGCAGTGGCATGCTTAGGGACTGAACTGGGATCATTTGTTGATATTAATAAAGGCTGCTGAGTGCTCAGCTTGTTTAAAAACTGTGTGTTTGCCTTACAGTGATAGGTGCCTACCTTTTTTTTTACTGAGCATGTCTGCTCTGAGAAATTCATATTATAATTGAAAAGAGTCATGTGTTGAACAAGGGGAAAAAGTGAAAAGGAGTGTGAGGAGAGTAGCTGGAGCAGATAGGAAAATCTGATGTTTGGTTCTTAGGATGTGGGAAGAAAACTGTGTGTGTCATGGCAGCCTAAAGGAAAGTGTGAAGAGGCTTCAGCTACCCTAACCCCAGGGGAGAGGGAGGGAAGTGGAGGCTTCGAAAACCCACATAAGAATTATTTGAAGGATGTTAACTGCAGGAAAAATGGGTTTCATTTTTTTTTCAGAAAAAATACTAAGAAGATTTAGGCATTTACTTATACCTCAGAATGGCAGTTGCAGTATCCATGGCTGATACAGAAATTTGTGCTCCAGGAAATTGACTCCAAGCAATATCTGCTTTCTCGCTTCCTCCTTTACCTTGGCTTTCACCTTGAATTTTTAGAAGCCTTCCTGCCACATTCTGTTCAAAGCCTAAAGCCAAGATATTGCTGTATCAGAATATTTTTAACTCCCAAGAAGGCTGCTGAAGAAATACAGATAAAAATAAATGGCAGGAACCGAGGAAGAATCTTCCTTGAAAGGATAAAAAACGTTGCTTTTGAGGAAGGAGCTTTTCATGTGTCATGTCTGTGTGTAACCTGCATTTCCACACTACTGTGTAATGAGGCTGTTGTGCCTTTCAGGTGTGGGATCCACAACATGTTCCCTTTACACTTAGCAGCGCTGAATGCTCACTCAGACTGCTGCAGGAAGTTGTTGTCATCGGGTAAGTAAATCCACAGTGTCTGTGGAGCTCCAGTAATGTGTGTGTCTGCTGCTTGTGGCCCCTTTTATACTCATTGTTGTGGATTGTTCAAATGAAAGACTTCCTGTGCTGCTGTGTTCGCCTGTGTGGTGTAATGTATGGGAGCACGCGGGGCTTTCCTAATGGCATGCTGGTACTTCCTCCTATCCTGTATTGCTCATGCCCAAAATTCTTTTCTCCTGGCAGGTTTAGAGAGTTTATATTAATTACTAGGAGGAGGGAGGAAACTGAGGACCCTTTTTCCAAACTGTAGGACTATGAGATACTGTCTTGGTTTGGGTTCTTTTCCCCCGAGGAATAATTCAGGAAGTTATCTCCTTGGTTCTGCACTGTTGTGGTTATTTGCATCTCACTGATAAGGATGTATTCTAGATACAGCTAAAGCGTGTCTCTGTATTTAGACAGAGTAGAGGAGTTAGGCTGGCCAAAGCTCTGTGAGCATGAGATGGGAAATGAATGAAAAGTGTAGTGTTGAGAGAGCAGTTCTCAGGAAACCAGAGCCCAAAGCAGAAGAAGGAGCTTGCTGACGGAAGTGTTACAAAAGAGGCATCATCAGGTGCCAAATCCCAAATTCTTTCTTTCCAGGCAAAAGCTCCCATGAATTAAAAAATCACAAGGCAGATCATACGCTTTTCCTAGGAAAAACTATAGGTGTTACTATACACCTAAAATCTCCTACAATGACTTTTTCCTCTAAACTTGAGTCCTGTAGGATAAAGCATGGAAAATAGTAATTGCATACCCATTCCATTAAACCTTGGTGTGTTTTGGCCTTGACCACTAGATCTGAAAGGAGGAGAAGCAGCTCTGGGTGACCAGATTTAATACTGCCGGGTTTATATCCTTTGGCCTTGTGCACCTTTGAATATCAACAAGTGCTCCTGGAAGCCTGTTTTCAACCTGGAAACCAAATGCAATAAAAATGGCCCCATTTCAAAATCTGAGTTTGTTGGTTTTCCTCATTTCTTCATGTTTTCTGTCTTCATGTCCTGCTGTTGCAGTCCTCTGATAAGTATCTGCCTCATAAATGCGTTTCACACTGTTTTAAATAGGGATGTGGCGAGGAGAGCTGGATGTGGAAATAGATGCTCGTCAACTTTGCAGCTCTTTTTATAGAGCTGCCAAACTGGATGGAGCAGCTGCTCGCCCGTTCCCCTGACAACCTCTTTCTGACTGTAGTTGCTTGTGTTCTGTTTCTTTCCCAACTAACTGATTTTTCTGTCTCTGCAATGTTTCTTGTGGTTTAACTAGGACAAAAGTATAGCATAGTGTCCTTGTTTAGTAATGAGCACGTGCTGTCTGCAGGCTTTGAAATAGACACCCCTGATAGTTTTGGAAGAACGTGCCTCCACGCTGCCGCTGCAGGAGGGTGAGTAGCTGCCACTGTAGCTGTTGTAAGTTATTTTGTGGCTTTATTGCGGGTTTGGTGCCAGCCAACTTGACTGTGCCATCCACAGAGGAATTTATTGTAGTGCAAGGGAAGCAAAGCAGTCTGATGTCAAATTTGGGTCACTTGAAGCTGTCTTTTGCCACTGCCCTCATGTAGGGCTTGCTTGCAAAGTAAAGGAGATGGTCTGGTTCTGTCTACTGCAGACAGCTGGGCAATTTGAAGGATGGCTTTCAGGCACAGGATAAAACTCTTTCTTTTCATGGCCTTGGGAAGACTGCCTCAGCTTTAGATGGCGGTATTGCATAATCACCCGAGTCTGTCTTTTGACCACTACCCTTGCTGAGGGCCAGCAGTCAGCAGGAAGTCACCTGCACCTGGGACAAAGTGAGTAAGGAAGAGGAGCTGTAGCTCCTGGGATGCTGCTGGTAGGGGAGTTATTCCCGGCATCCACCTTTGGACTGTGTCTTTGTCTGAAAATGCAACAGTGCCCATCATCATATTGAAACCCCGGAGTCCAAACACAGCTCATCTCCCTCTTTCCCATTTTTCAGGTGCAAATTGAAAAGATGCTAAAAGAAAATACAACAAACCAAAACAACAAAACCAACCCCAGAACAAACAAATAACCCTCAAGCTCCACATTGAAAAGGCAAAAGACTGTTGTTCTCTCAGAGTGATGCATTCCTGATGAGTGCTGGGAGGCCAGAAGTGGCAACAAATGAAAAATGAAATGCGTCAATTTAAGTTGTAAATGTAGCATCCAGTTAATTTAAATATTTCCAATTAATTGTCAGTGGAGAGCTGTGAAGTTAACCCAGCAAAAGGACAGAGCATTTGGCAAGCATTGAGTGTTGACTCTTCTGTTGAGTACTTTATGGCTTAGTAAACAGCTGAAATGGAGCCTTGGCTAGAACCCAGCTTGGATTCTCTGTGGTTATAGCAAGCAGAAATGGTCATCCATAGCAAGCACTTGGCGGTCTTTCTGGAAGTTGGTTTTTCTTCTCAGTGAACCAAAACGAATATCACAATGTTTTTATTATTACAAAAAAAAAAGAAAATAAAATGTTTCTAGCATCCTCATGGTATTACCCTTCTTGAAACCTCTCTGACATTAACAGCGGGGGTATGACCGTTGCTCGAATGGAGATGATTATGGTATGGTTCAATAAGGCTGCACCCCAAAAGAATAAGAAAAACAACCTGAATGAAAAAGGAGAGGCTTTGTAAGAGGCAAAAGTGGCTCATGAAAATAAACCATATTTTTCCAGTGGTTTACTGCAATTGTCATCACTGACAAGTGTTTTTATTTTTAGTACATTGTGGTGAGTGTTCTGTAGCTATTTTATGCAATAGAAAATTAGAGTAGGGATGAACGTATGCCAACATATTGCATCCAGTCTTCTTTTTCTCCTGGAGCTGGAGCTATAGAAAAGGAAAGGCATTCATTTTTTTCCTGACACATGGCTGTTACTCCGATTATATTAATGGGAGTTGCATGAGTACTAGGAAAAGAACATGCTTCAAAGGCCTGCTCATCTGATTGTGAACACCAATGATTTATTGTCCCTGTGAATGACAGGGAGTCTTGGAAAGTGCTGCACTTCTTTATGTCATTTTCTGGCTTGGAGTCATATATATTTGCTTGCATTACAAAAGATGTGAGAGTTGAGCTGTTTTGTTTTCTATTAAAAATCACCTCACTTTAAAGGTGAAGAAGCAGCTATGATGTGGTGAATTCCTTCAGCAGATACAAGGGAGTCCAAGTCATCCACTTATATAAACGCAATATTGATATGACAATCACTTCAAATAGCTATGCCCCTTATTCAGCCAAGCACTTAGAGATGTGCTTAGATCTGTCAATAGTCAACGAATCATGTAAAAGAATTACCCAACGAGGAGCTCTTGTGATTAAATCTCACTAAGTAAACAGGATCTGAGCAAAGTGATTCCTGCTGACTACTTGGCTGAATGGGGGTGGAATTCGTTAAATGTCACCTCTTCATTATTGGACTGGCATTTTATGAGCTAGCAACAACTTTCTCCTAAAATTCTCTTATAAAATGCCAGTTCAGTGTGGGAAGCATTAGAGTACAGCTCCCATTGCAAACCTCCACACCAAACTCACATCACATTTACTGTGCTGTATTTGGAAAACGAATTGGTTTTCTTCTGCAAAAGGAAAATTAAAGGTTTTCTAGAAAAAAAATAATTAGCTTTTCAAAGCTTCATGTTCTATTGGATTGTATTTCACATTGCATTTGGTTCTACTTCGGTTTTGCATGGCAGATAATACAAAATAGAAGAACTTTCTCATTTTGAAGGCAGGGGGCAACACATCTGTAAACTTCTGGTTTGTTCATGTTTTGTTTTCTTTCCTTTCCTTCTCTTTCCAGTAATGTTGAATGTATAAAACTCTTGCAAAGCAGTGGAGCAGATTTTAATAAGAAGGACAAATGTGGGAGGTAAGTAAATGATGAAGCTTATTTTAAAAAGAAAAGAATCTAGGAGGCAGGGAAGAAAGACTTGCCTCAGTCTGAAAATCATATCTTCAGTGAAAAATGACGATAAAATAAAGTAGGAGTTTGGCCTTCCCTGCAGAACTCTTGCTGCCACAGTTATATGCCAGACAGACAGGTGCAGACTTCATTAAATACATAAAAGCCATCCCACCCTCTTCAGTTTTCTGGTTTAAAAATATCACGGGTTCATTTTTTTTCCTTATTGCTTCTCTCATTGCCTAAATTCTTGTGCTTGTGTGCCCAAGACAACACCTGGGTTACAATGGGAGGATTGCTGTGATTTGACATGCCTCTCTGAGGGTTTTTTTCCTCCAATGAAGTGTTGTTATGAGTGTTGCTATGCCACCTAAATAAGATGCTGTGAGGGGCACCATGCTTTGCTCTGCCTCCCAACTGGAAGAAAGTAGCATGTATGCAGAGCAACAGCAGAGGCTGTCACTGGAAATAGGCTGTTTGCAAAGCACAGGTTGATGATGTGTATCCTATTAGGCTTTGTAGGAGCATCAAAACTTCCTATTAACACAGTGTTTTGTTAAATTTCCATAACTTCATTTCATCACAGGAACACAAGACACTGATACTGACTGCTGGAAATCTGTAGCAATGCAGCAGTTAAGATTTCTTATTACCCTTGGTGGTGCATATTGGAATACGAGGTAACAAATTGCCACTTATGTTGCAGGACGCCTTTGCACTATGCAGCTGCAAATTGTCATTTCCACTGTATTGAGACACTGGTGACAACAGGAGCCAATATTAATGAAACAGATGACTGGGGACGCACCCCTTTGCACTATGCTGCTGCTTCTGACATAGACCGAAAGTAAGGAAGCCTCTTTGTATTCCTTGTTTAAAGTGTTCTGCTAAATTAGAGTCATTCTGTTCTCTTCATGATGCTATTTCACTTGAGCCAAAAAAAATGATCCTCCTGGCAAAGGAATTTCCCTCAGATGTATGCATAGCTCCACAATGAGTTGCTCTGACTATATGCCAAATCCCCAGATGATGTGGCATTTCAGCTCAGTTACTTTTGATGTAACCCACAGTTTTGCAGCCACAGTGTCCTACTGAACTATTTCGCACCACATTTTCTGTTTTTCTCTGTCTGATTTCCTCATACGAGTGAGCTCAAGAATTTTCTATATCTGCTTTTCAAGTCCCTCAGAAGGGATGGAGCAAGAGACAGCAGAAGAGGTTTTCCTAGGCGGGCTGCAGTGACAGAAAGACATTTAGCCATTCTGACAGACTTTCTTGAAGGGATGGGGTAGAACTATCCATCAGTTTGTTTCCACTCTCAGAGCTGATAAAAAATCCTCCCCCTCACCAAACAGGTTGCTTTCAGAGATTTTAAAAAGAGAGAGGACTGGGGAATATCCTTTGACAGAATGCAGTGCTCTTCTTGTGAGGAGGGGGGAAAACAGCTGCAACGGTTAGAAATCCTGTGGTTAGTGACTGCAGTTCCTGATTTCCAGATAGTTGCATGTTTTGGCAATCTCATCCTTATAACACACTCTATAAAACAAGTTCAGTTATCCTGTTAGTTCTCTCTTAAAACTGTTAGTGGTCTATGTTTATTGTAGGTTATCCCATGTTTCTCTCTCATTTGTCTAGACTTTAAGGTTTCTTCTGTAGTGAGGTCTGGTAAAAATACATCTGGCTCATTCCCAGCAGAATGCCATCTCAAAGCCACCGAGGCTTCACAGGAAAACTCTGGCTTAACTTTACGGTAGAGGTTTGGATGCCATACCAGAGCCTTGGTAGCTTCTTCATCATTTGCTGTGATATAAAGAATGTCTTCCTTATCACCCTCAAACCTGAACAGTGCTGGAAAGAAGGCAGCAGGATCTTCAAAAGTCTGTGTTTGTCATTGCAATCAGAGTAGGCTTGTAGGAAGGCTTTCAGCACTGGCTGTTTCTAATTCTGTCTTGCTCAGGAGAGGTGTTACTTGGGATGTTGACAGTGGTGATTTGGTGTGTGGTTTTCAGCTTTTGGCTCTTTGTAGATGAAGTTCCTGCATTTAAACAAGCTCTTGGTTAACTTCAGGATATATCTACTTCCATAACTAATTAAAAACAAAAGCTTGCTTTAGTCACATCCTGAACATTGTCAGGACTATGTGTCCTTTATTTGCCCTCATAGTCCAAACCTAAATTGAATCTGATGTTGTGATGCTGTCTTCTCATTAAATTTTCCAGTTTGAGATGCTTTGGAAGAAGTCTTATTACACAGATGAAATGCCATTTGCAGCCCGTGATTTTATAGGTCAGCATATCTTTTTTTCCTGCTGAATGGCAAAAAATTCCCAAGGTCAGGCAGTCTCAGCTCAAAGAATATTCGTAATTATTTAATTTGGGATGTGGGGAGGTATGAGCAAGAGGTCTTGGTGCAGAGAATCTTTTTCTGGGATGTCACATATCTGTAGCTAACTGGAAACAACTGCAGGTAGGACTTCAGCATAGCACATGAGTGCTGTTTATGAACTTACAATGTTAATGTTCAGGGGAATTATTTTATTAATAATTAAGTTTTCTAGGAGTCAGTGGACATCAGACAGACGCTGCGTTTGCAGAACAACCCATTACTGCTAGCACCCACAGGAAGAATGTCGGATCTTGATATTACAAATGGGAAAATGCATAGTAAAGAAGGAATGCACGGTTCTACATTGTGCAAAAGCCAGTCTGGAATTTGCATGTTATATGAATTGAAATTAGCAAGCTGTCCTTCTACAAGCCCTTCAAGCTACCAATCTGTGATGACAGCAGTTTGTAAACATATTCTCTATTAGCTTTAGTGGCCAAGAAAACTTACGGCTGTAAGATCACAAATTATAGTGTTCTGTGTGCCGTCCATCCAGCTGGGAAGCAGAGGTGCCAAAAGTAATCCAGGAGGGTGCGGGAATATGAAGACATGCTGAGAACACATTCTTTGAAAACTGAAGAACCTCACCAGAAGATGCACACATTGTTTCCAAGATGATTCACAGAAAGTGAAGAAGAGCCAGCAACCCAGCTAATGCAGAATCAAATAAGCCGATTCAGTATCAGTTGTTAAAGTTTCTCTAAATCCTAAATGCTAGAGAACTAGAAGCTTACTGTAGGAAGAAGCAAACTTGAGTTTGCTCAAGGTAGTCTCGAGTTCCTCTCTGCAAAGGAAACAAAATGCACAACATTGCTGTGGGAGAAACGGAAGGACTCTAGAAAGTGATGATCAAACTGTTTCTGATAGAGACCAGATTTCTTTCTTTTTTCATTCCTGGCATTGGTTTGCAGGTCAATAAACTAGCACATTGTAGTTGTCTCCATAGCTTGCAAAACTCATCAGCTGCAGACCCATGCAGTGCACTCATTTACTTTATGTAATTCTTGCTGTTGGCTGGAGGAGGTGAGCTCCTTGCAGAGGAGGTTGGGGATGGGTGGCAGACTGCATCAGAATCACTGGTATGATACTTACGAAATAAGTTGCGTTTTTCTGTCCTCTATGCTAAGAAGAAAGAATATTTTAGGTAACTCCCATGAAAATGCTGAAGAACTTGAAAGAGCCACTGAGATGAAGGAAAAAGAAGCTGCATTGTAAGTTTGGTGTCAGTAAAGCAGTTAGACCTCATTTCTGGAGAATGCCACTGCTTCGGGCTGCAGTTTTACACTCTGCTTTTGCTCATTCATTGCTCTGCTAAACACAGTGCTTGGCTTTAGTGAAGGCTAACCTGAAGGAAAAAGCTCTACACTCTTCTCTGTGCACATAATACCTAACATTTCTGTTTCTGTGCTTGTTGCTGAAATGTTGCTGCAAATGCACTGCCTCAGTAATTTCATAATTCTTTAGTATCATGCGCTGCCTTATTTTAATGCTTTCGCGCTGAGTATGTATGTTGCAAAAGGAAGGAGCCAATGGCTTCCTCGATGTATTTACTCAGATTGATGTTTTCATCTAGTTTTTATTTTAAAAATCCCTTTTTTCATATGACAGCCTTACATTCACCACAAATTACAAGCTACGGAAGACAGAACTAATAACAAAGTGGTTTCATGATGATTATAAGAAAAAGTAGCAGGAACATAAGGGATCCTTTGAAAAGCACATGATTTAGAGCAAAATACAAAACCAAACAAGAGAAGAAAATGTGTTTATGTGCATATATGCCAGGAAATTAACTCAGTTAAGTCTGTTTTTCAGCTGGCCATAGTGCATGTTTGGAGGCCAGTGGTTTGATATAACTTGAGTTGTAGCAGTTCTAGGCTGTGCCTATGATGGTACAGAGTTGTGTAGTTTTCTTTTGGCCTTTGTCATAGACAATACTTTTTGTAATCTAGAGTACCTGCAAAACTTAGGTTGAAATTGTTTTTATGAAGCTGATCCTCAAAGATGAGTGGGGTTTTTCTGTCTAAAATAATGGTGAATGTGAGGAGCTGTTGGTGAAACACAATCTGAAGTACTGCTAGAATTAACTGCCAGTTTCCAGTTAGCTGCAGTGAGGGATGAGTCTCTTAAATATTGTGAGCTCACATTTACACTAGTGAATTGTCCACAGGTGTCTGGAGTTCCTCCTACAGAATGATGCCAATCCATCCATCCAAGACAAAGAGGGGTACAACACTGTGCATTATGCTGCTGCATATGGGCACCGGCAGTGTTTGGAACTGGTGAGTGCTCAGGCAGTTTCAGAAGTCTCTTACCTGCTGATATACATGTGCCTATGCCAGTATTATGAACTTCCCTGACGGCTACTATTTGAGTTCTTTGGATATTCAGAAATCTGTAAAAACTATGTAATATAGTACAGCAAACTCAAATATATGCAGCCAGATGGATCTTAGAAACGTGTTCATCTTGATAATCCAGTCCTTGTTTAACAAGATGGTGTTTAAATGTTGTCTTTGAGTGGAGTTTATGTGTGCTCAAATTACTTTCAACTGTCATCAGCATATTCCCAGTATATGTGTATGTGCTAGCAGTAAGGGATTAAGGGATAGTTTCCAGTGCATGGCAGCGTATGTGCCTTATTTACCTGGCACATTATCCGACTTGCAAATTGAGAGTAAATAGCTTTTGTCAGCTGTGTACCTGCAATGCCTTTTTGCCCCTGGTGAAGCAATAGCAGCATTGATAAGAGTTACCATAATCAAGATTAACCTTGTACGTAATGTAACTGGGCATGGTTGTTGTTTTTTAATATCCTGGACCTGAATGATTAGAAACTGCATGTCATAAGAAGCCAAATATTTTTAGCCAAAAATTGGATTTGGGAGAGGTACAGTATGGAATTACAGAAGTTTGTCACTTATAAAAAGAAGTGTCATGAAGATAGGTGTTAACTGATCTGCTTGGTATACAGGGTGACACAAAATTATTGTGTCACATATAAATAGGCTTTAATTGCATAAAAAATTAAGAGCTCTAATTAGAGTATTGTATAGATCTGCTTTAGTAAGAACACTGTGTGCTGGTTACTGTTCTATGTTCTTTGATTCGTTCGTTCTTTGTTGAAGAGTCAAAGTTCTTAATTATTGAAAAGGAGCTGCTGTCACACCACATATACCAGCGCTGTCAGTTCCTGCCATTGCAGGAGAAATACTGCAGTTGGCCTACATCAGGGTTACAGCAGCTTGGAAACCTTGACCTGTAATTATACCCTGGGTCAGAATGTCAGGTGGGATGTTAAACCTTTTTTAGCTCCCACCTGCAAGCATGTATATTTAGGACACTTAAAATATCACTGCTCCTTTGTTGCTTGTGGCAGCAAATTTGGCCTTTCCTTGCTCAGAGCCTTCTACATGAGATGATCTCTTGTGGTTGTGCCCCGGGGGATGGAAGAGTTCTCTGCTAAACCTGCTGCCCATTTGGAACAAAAGGAAAGGTTCTTGGTATTTGAAGGGTACATATATATATTGAGTAGCCCGCTTTCTGCTGTGTACAAGTCTACACTTGTATAGCTACAGCAATCTGTATTGAAACCTTACCAATGTCTTACCACCAGGTTCTTGCATGACTTGCATGAGCAGGGACCTTCGTAAAAGCATCTTCAGTAGGGAATTCTCTTTCAGCCTTCGTATCGTGGTCCGCGTGTGCTGTGAGGCATGGAGCAGGCACAGAGCAAGGTCACCTCTCTTTTCTTTCACTTGCTGCTGTGCACATTGTCTGGCAACAGATCAGTTGCAGACAATGACCTGCTATCAAGTCCCACTGTTGCTTAGGCTTGCCAGACAAAAGGAAGAGCTGGGAATGCAGTGCCTATCAGAGGTGTTGGGTTTTAATTCTGGAGGATGAAATGCAAACTGTGGGCTAGAGACAGCTGTGCAGCAAGTGTTCTATATTTGGACAGAGAAATCCAGTGTTTTTCCATGTCAGGCTCCTGTCTTTGTGACTACAGCCGCAGTATAGAAACCCAAGGTCAAGCATAATTTCCAGAGTCATACAGCTCTTCTGTGTACACCGGTGAAAGAAAAGTGCTATGAATTTTAGCCTTTTGCATGCAAAGGAACACTGTTGCAGACTAGGGTGTCTGCCTGAAAGGTTTGTGGTGACTGGGATTTTGCCATTGGTGTTTAGAGGCTGACAGACATCTCATTTTATCTCTGGAATACAAAAGCTAAATGTACCAGAAAGCATTTGTGCTCTGTCAACAGCAGGACAAGGATCCACCATCTTTGCACCCACTGTCGGAAGAATGTGATTCTGTTTTGTTTGTGTGAGCAGTTGTTCCCTAGCTCTAGTGAGCTACCAAGTCCTGAGTTTTATAACTTTCCGTCTGTTAATAGTGACTAATTGATATAGACACCACCTTTAGGCTGATCTTTGCATTGCTTGGATTCAGGATGGCAAAAGGGTCAAGACCAAAGTCTTCAGTAGCTGAAAGGTAACTGTGCTTTCGGTATGAAATGGAAATAATCCTCATACCTAAGTTTATCACCTATTCCAACATGAGACTCCCAGGTGTTAAGCTAATTGTTGATTCTGCCCTCATCTGATAAAACAGTGTCATTGATAGACATCACAATCCTGTAATGCAATCAGATTGATTTTGACAGAGTTGTGGTTATTCATGGCTCTTTGAAGGCTCTGTCTAAAAGCTGCAGTAAGTATTCACCTGGTGCAGATGGAAAGGAGCCTCACTGACTTGTGAGGCTGACTGGTGGCTTGATCACAGTTTGTTATGTTCTCTGTAGTGGACCTGTGACAAGGACTTTGTCATGAACCATGATCTGTATTTTTGGTAGCTATTAACCGCAGTACTTTAACTGCTCTAGTTATTCATATTTGAGTGAAGAATCCAGTAAGCCTTAATTGCTTCTAGGCATGACTTTTAAATTGATATCTGTCATAAAAGTGCTGACTTTGAAACACGAATCTGCATCACAGGAATTCTGACATGCAGAATGCTCCTAAAATATTTCCAATCCCTTCCATCCTGAAGAGGATTTTCAGGCAGGATTACTGAAATAAAAGCATTATTTTTCAGTGCCAAATTCACTGTTATTTTCCTGATTTATCCCTTGGATAAATATTATTGATAGCTCATAGATGAAAATATCTAGGAATTATCTTCCCTAGAACAAGACGGTTCTTTATGGGCATAAAGCTGTTAGAGGAAAGAGGTCATATAAAATACAAAGTTTTAATTCTGATCAAAGCTAAGGCAAAGTGGGTGAAACAATAAGTTTGATTTTATGAATAGTGGTTACTAGTATTTCTCTACAGGCACAACACTGTACTTAAGCAAAATGTCAGGGAATTATTTCAGTGTCCCAGAATATGTCAAGTTTATCAAAGACATTAATTTTGCTTCCCCTCTTTTCCCTGCTTTTTTAGAAGAGGTATTTAAAATAGCTTACTTCTAAATAAATGCTCACTTAAGAAAGTCTGCAGAAGAGGATGCAGGATCCAGTGGAGTTTCTTTTGCTGAGGGATTTGATCTGTGTTTTAAGCACCACAGCTTCTCAGCGTGATGAAATAGCTACGTGTTTGAGGATAGTTTAGGAAAGGCTGGTTTATCTACCATGTAATATATATTTTCATTTTTTGACTAAAGTGTTTACTGTGAGCCCAATACCTTGGCTGGAATTTAGCTATAACTCTTCTTGGGAAGAGGAGAGGTATTAGGAGAAATAAGCATGAAGAGTGAAAAGGTCACATCCTTTGACCCAAACAAATAAAATCTGTGTTTGTGTGTTCAACCATAGAGCTCGATGACAGACTCCTTTTTCCTGGAGGACCTTTAGGTTGCCTGGGGTATTAGTGGGGTTGTTTCACTGCAGTGAATGACGTGATGATGCTAAAAATAGAAGAGTGGAAGCAGATCCTGGAATTCTTTCTCCATCTGTAAGGAGCCATTCATGAAGGCTCAATGGTGGGCATGTGTGCTCACAAGCAACCGAAACTCCCATCTGCTTCCCTGCCTCTAAAAATAACCTCATGTTTGGTTAGCATAGCACTGACTTCTTCATTGTTGGGTAGTCAGGGATATTGGTCATGATCGCTAGCTGGTGCTTTAGAGCTGATCACATCACCAAGCTACTTTGAAAGCAATAAAATTATGGTGGGTTTTTTCATTGAAGTGATCTCTTATCAAAAAATCCTTACTGGTGCAAACAGAGTGAAACTGAAATTGTAATTTCACGCTAAAGTTCTGTCTGGAGAGCCAGTCAAGCACTTTTTGCTGGCAAAAAGTGGTTTCTGTGCAGTGTTAGGGCAAACAGAATGAAATGCCTGTCTCCTGGAATGAAACCTCTTCTCTGACTGTAAGAATCAGTGGTTATTCTTTTCTTTTACTCTGCTCTTTATTCAAACAGCAAATAAAATTCACTTTTTGGCTAATAGAAATCAAATCAGTACAGGGGCTAATTCATTAGAAGCTGGGAGGAGAGCATGGTTTCACTGACAACCATGTTCAAAAGGAAAGGCAGTTTTCAGTCTGCTTGCCTGAAGCACAGTGATTTGCACATCTGTGTGTGACAGGGGGAAGGGGCAGAGGGAGACTTCTTGCTAGCAGAAGGCTGCCTTGGCTGTGCCATGGAGGGAGAGGCTGGGTTTGAAGAGAAGGAAAACACCTTTTATGAGACTAGCTGCTACCACGGGAAAATAGTTAAACTGTGTCTTCAAAGCACTTGGTTCCTTAGCCTGGGGAGGAATTGAAATCAAAGACCCCATAAATCTGATGTGGCTGCTACTAATTATATATGTCTCTTACCAGCAAGAACTTGTTCATTCATCCATCTGTGAGCAGGACAGTGGTAACTAGTGATGAGTGGATCACAAGTGTGGTTGGGATAGGTGTTAAAAAGCCTTTAGCCATGTAGGGATCTGGCTCAGATGCTTGTCCAAGTGGCAGTCCCTAAACCTCCTTCTGATGCAGATCTCTTTATTCTGGGGATACATTCTGGGTTTTCTCCTTCATAAATACCTGTCCACCCCCACGACCAACATCCTCTATCTCAAAAGGGAGTGTTTTGTCTGAAACCAGTGGTGATAGTGTTTCATGCAGTGAATGACTTTGTACCTATAAGAGCTTTTCCCTCATGGAATCTCCTTTGTTAGTGGAGAAGTGCAAAGTCATTAACTCGAGTGGTTCTAAAAAGGAAAAGAACTTAGGAACTTAATGCTTGAAAATAATTTTAATAAATCTAATTTGTCTTTTAGTCCTAGAACCCCCCGAATCACGATAGACTGATTTAATTACTTGAGTTTCAGTGTCAGTATTAGTGCCAGATATACCCACTAGTTAAACAATCAGTAGGAGCCTATATATGCTAGGTATGGTGATATATGTTAGCTTATAGCAGTGCATTTTAGCTTAGAGTTTATGTTTTGGAAACTAGATAATATTGAACCTAAGAACGTTTTCTAGACATCTAATGCTGCTTTGTGAAGTGAATGAGTGCAGGAATTTACCATTTGCTCTGGCACCCTGCTGGCCCTTTGGCTTGTAGGGTAGGAGTATTGCCTGGCATCTTGGAGGTTTATTTCGTCTCCCTGACAGATTTGGTCTTTATTTTTTAGTTTATGTATTTATTTTCCTGGGGTGGAAAAGCAAAGCACTTCTATCTGCTGTGTTCTGACAGAGAATAACAAGGCCATTGCAGAACTGCAGGAGACATTTTTCCTTCAGTTTGGAAGAAGTCATGGACTTCTGCTGTTGCCTTAAAATACTTGTCTGTGTATCTGTGTGTGTGGTGTTTAAATGTAAATGTGTGAAGATTATCTGACTCTCAAATCTACTGAATCAAATGAAAAGGGCATTTGATGATGGCATATGGCATTGCATTAGACTGTGTAGCTCAGAAAGAGCTGTGGGCACTGGGATTTTAGAGGTGTAATCAGGCATATTTATACAAGGCAAGATGTTTGCTTGCATGAGCAGACTTTCAAAAAGAAACTGTCACTGGTTTGTTGGTATTTGAGGGTTACAAAGCAACCTAACTTCATCAGGCAAGGTCTCCCACAGTGTGTGTATTTTGTGTCTGTATTTCGTCAATTGAGTAGATTGATCGTAAGCATTCTTACTGTTTTCCTCTCTCCCCTCCTCCCTTAAGAAGTAACACAACTTCTTGTTGTGTTACTTGATGAGGTTACTGCAGACAGTGGCTGTCTGCAGTAGGCAGCAGTCTCATTGCTTCAGGAGTATTCTATAGATAGGTAGAGATGGGTGCACACAGGATCAAGTCTTGGTTTAGGGTTCTGTTCGTGCAGTGCTTGTAATGCAGTTTATTGTACAGGAAAAACAAATCAATGCAAAAAAAAAACAACAAACCCTAGAAACACTTGCAGATTACCATTATTCTTAAATACTTCTGTCTTTAATTGTTCTAATTGACATTTTTAATTAGATTGGAAGCAAAACTCCATTGGATATAGTGAGTAAATGAAAAATGATTGCATGTTGTGTATTTTCATTTTTCTTTGAACTCCTTAGTATTTCACAATCCTTGCATTCACTCTGATAAAGCCTGAGGAAGAAGAATCACAACTCTTAACTAGCATGCCGTGTACTTCAAGCAACTGCATGTGTGCTGCTCCTACTTCTGTTGGAATTCCTTCTTGCTGTTGCTTACAGGCTTAAGCTTTGCTAGAAAGTCTGTTGCTTTTCCTCAGTCAGTCTTAGGAGTGTGAGTCAAGTGCACGTACCTGAGTGGCATGACACTTGTCTGGATGTTAAAGTAAACTGCATTTGGCGATGTGAAATGGAACCAACACTTGTGTGTTTTCTGGAAGTCTGTGGCCAGTTTCAAAGTGGCTCAGAGAAGAGATGTAAATGACACGTCTTCAAGTGAGTCTAAATTTAAAAAGCACTTGTATGTAGAGGCACAAATGAGAGGAGAGTAGCAGAAATACCATTTACAGGCACATTTTAAGAATTGGCTGTCACTGTATTTCACCAGTGCCCAAATTTTCTATCTGAAGAGGAAATTTCTTAAGGGTAATAATTTCTCAAAAGCCTTCCTTTATCTTTTACACAACTGTATGAGAAGTTACAAAAGCTCCAATGGAGGGTCCTTAAACCAACATATGAGGCTTTGCAGAACCTCAGAGGTAGACTTTCTGGCCAGAAATACACATGATTTGAGTGTAAAAGTTCCAGGTTCAAATCTCTGCTCTGACTGACAAAGAAATTGGACTTGTACATCCCAGGAAGTGACCATCACATTATGCTGGGTGGTACTGGGTAGGATCTCTTGCTCTCATTTGGAGCTGTCGTGCTTTTTGTAAATACTCATTGGGTGAGAATCTCCTGTATAACCCACTGAGTATGGCATTTATATGGCTTTATATGAAATGATTTTGTATGAATTGAAAGAGCTCCAACAGAAGATTAGTGTCCTGCGAGAGAGCAGCCAGTGGCCTGGAGGTCTGCTGGAATTTGGGGGTTTAGATACGTTTAAAGACTCAAACAGTGTTCTATTACATGGCAGGTAAGTGTCCTGTTTGCATTGGGTATTTATACTTTGTACTGGAAGAGTTGCATGGAACAACTAATAGATTTCTTCAGACACAGTGAAACTTCTGTTGCTTATGTTAACTTCACCCATAATCTACACACATGAGTGAAATTGATGTAAACACTGATTAATCTGATTTTTAAAGCCTGATTTTAGGAAAACATATCAGACACTGGGTGAAGGATGTGAACTGGTGTTAACCTCATCAAATTAAAGTAGTGTGATCATTGGTATTTACAAATACGGGAGAGAGCTTATAGGATTGCTTGTCCCCACGATGATATGTTTGTACCACTCACCTTTGAATTATTCAGTCAAGACTAATTCTGAGATTTAAAACTGTGCTTCCCTGGTATAAAGTACCCCAGAGGTTAATTCTGTTACTGTTTTCTGTCTCATTTGAAACAACTGATGAGAATCTTCAGTCTTGTGCTTGCTACATGCTGGAAAAGCCTTTATTTAAAAGAAGCTGCTGCTGGTATGTTTTTCCCCAGTAGAGACAATGATCTGTGGCAATTTGTTAAGGAAGATGAGATTCAAAGTGACACCCTGCCTGATGTATTTGTGTTCAGTTCTGAAAGGGACATTAAAAATGGTTACAAATCCCCACTTCTGCATGACCTTGTGATAAGCTACATTGCTATGCAATTATTGCAGATGAGCAATGCCCAACTACTTCTTTTTTCTTAATTGCCTTTTGATCAGCTCTTTGCATGTGTGAAAATCTCTGAATGCTGTTTGCTTAATGACCTTTCAGAGTAAAGGCCACTTATAGGTTAAGCACATGTAATCTAGTGTTTTGCCATTTTACGATGAGTATTAATAGCACCAGAGAATTTCATTAACAGTGCAGAAGTATGGAATGTAGAAATTATTGCCTTACTAACATGGTAAAACACTCATTTTTGTTTCAGTGGTAGTTAGATCAAACCTTTGACATAACTACCAGCAGTGCACTTAAATGGCTGTGCCTTAGAATGTGGCTGCACGATGGCTTGTACAGAATCACATGTTGTGTCCTCTCTGAGGATTTCAGATAGCACCCAGTGTTGGTGTCTGTGGTTTGAAGTATCCTGACTCATTAACTGTCATATGAGTAAAAAAAAATGGTGGGAGGTGGTGAGGAAGCACACACCATATCCTGTTATATGATCCTTTATTGTAGCTGTAGAATAAAAGCAAGCAATAAATCCTCTTATGACTGTAAATACCCTTACTGTGCAAATACAGTTGTGAGAGCTGTAAAAGTTATTGATCTTCATGCAGAGCTGGGGGAGAGAAGACAGATCATAATAGCAGCCTTGTAGTGCTATTAGTTTGTAACAATAGCAGTGAGTAATTGACGTGTTTTATCTTAACTTTGTCTGCATCTCACTCCCAAAGCATTCAAGCTCCTGTTTCTGAGTGTGAGGAAGATTTTACAGAATAATTACATACAGCATTAAATAGCACTGTTATGGGAAGTGAAGGGGGCATGCTGGGAATTTCCCAGAAGCAGAGAGGAAGAGTATCCTTACCCTTTAAAAGGTTATAACCTAGTGAGAAGGAGGAGTGCCCACCAATTTCACTTGCAGTGCCTCTGCACAATTCTAACATCTGCTTAAAATCTGCGGGCAACCAATATGTAGAAATGTAATCAGCTAAAAGACACAATGTGTGGCACCAGAACTTACTAGTGAGAGATGCTGGGACATTCTTCAGTCAGCCACCAGTAACCATAAACTGTTAGGAATTCATGCTTATTTGCTTGTCTTCACTGAGATGCATTGGCCAGCTTCTAGCCAGCAGATGCGTATTGCAGCATAGCAGACACGCTTGGTTTGCTCTGCAGGGTCTGTGGATTTGAGCTTCCATGGGCTGTCAGGGCAAATGGTTTTGAGCAATAAATTCACCTTTGTAAAAACAGATGCAACTGTGGATAGCTTCTTACTTTAAGATGGAAGCGCTATGGAGCTAGAGCCCCCCCCCCCCAAGGATACACTGTTCTATGTGTTCTTATAACAAGTATATTTAATGAGCTGTAAACACATTCTTAAAATCATAGAAACACTTATGAAACTGGAGAACTGCTTGGTAACTTGGACCTGGTACATTTTGTCTCTTTGCGCATGATGTTTATGCTTCAGATGTCTTAGTTCTGATCATTATGAAGCAGTGCTTGATAAGGCATAATGAAAAATTATGAGTGCTGTGTCTTTAATCTTCCTTCTCTTACTCTCCTTTATAATTTCCCTTCCTGTGCTGCACGGCTGTATATCTGAGAGCTACTGGCTTTACCATGAAATTCTTGTTTACGCTTGACTTTCTGATGGAGACATTCAGCCTTATGAGTAATAAGCTCATTAAGCCTCGTCTGCATCAGCCTAAACTGCTTTAACTCTAAGCCATGGAGATGCCTTTTGTGAGGGACTCTCTAATCCCACAATTTGTTCTTTTAGAGCCTTAATTTTGTCAATTTTGTGTGTGGTTTTTTTCATCTGTTCAAAAGGCAATTACGTACCTTGTTCCAGGAGACTTTTGGAGCCTTCTGACAGGTTTAGGGAAGTATTCCTTTGGTAAGATTTTGATCCTGGAATTTCAGCAGATGATGATAAATGCAATTAACAGTGATTAAATTAGATTGCTGTGCTGGCCTTATGGACTTGGAGGAAAGGCCAGGATTAGGCAGGCAAGGGAACAGGCTCAGTGCTTGGGTTTGTTCGGTGGGATTTTGTTCTAGTTTGTTTACTCACTAGAGAAAATCAGAGCTGGCCACTGCTCCATCCTGTTTATAGCTATCTTATATAAGAGAAGAACAACATTTTAAACTGGAGGTGGCTCCACATGGTAAGACCAAATGTGTTTCCTAACTCTGCCCCAAACCTACTGGAAAAAAGAGTGTGGGTCTTGGTTTCTTGGTTTTGTTTTGCCTTTTTTTCCCTTTAGCTGCAGGGAGTGTTAAAATTCATATTACCTCTTAATGCACACACCCACTTGCTTATGAGTGCTATTTGCATCAGCACGCATTTCTTTCCCAGTCCTGACATTTTACAAGGCACAAAATACATAAAGAAGTGAAATTACTGCTTAATTTTCTGTTTTTTTTTTTCCATAGGATTTGAATTAGTCCTTATTTCTGACACTTTATGCATTATTAATGCTAGCTTGTATTCCAGTTTGATTTTTGGGTAAATTAATCCTTGATATAGGTCTATTAAAGACTTAATTTGTTATACCAATAGTTCAGGTATACATCAGAGATTAGGATACGCCATCATCTTGCAGTGTAGGCAAACCTACCATAGGCTTTCACTGGTCTCTTTGGAGAGTCTTCCATGTTGTCATACCCTCGAATTGACCAGATTGTCACAAAAACTTCCCTTCCTCTGCTTCAGTCTTTCCATGAATTCCTTGCTCTGTCAAACAAGTCCAAAACAAAAAATCAAAGCTTGTGGGAAAAATTGACTTGTAACCTTCTAAACATGACAATGCAGTTCTAGTTGCCTGACAAGATTTGCTTTCCTTTTTACAGTCTCCCATTACTATTTTACTGTGAAATGCTCATTTCCAGTCACAAAGGTATTTGAAGACTAACTCTTTGAGTAGTTATTAACTAAAAGGCCACGCACCTGAGCAGTGCTGCTCTGCAAATGTTGAATTGTCAATACTGTGTGTGATTTTCTTTGCAGCCTCAATTGGGTAAGTTGTCAGGGTTCATGTGCTGTTGTGAAGTGGTACTGATCCATAGTTCCTCCTTCTAGATGGATAGAAATTCAGTACTTTGGGACCCCTGAAATTAAGAGGAACATACGAAAGTGCGATGCATGTTATAGATGATTGTAAGAGTTCAGGGATGTGTTGTGTTTTGTAAGGCAGGTTCTACTTTGCTAAGTTATAAAAATGACTGAATGACTCACAGCACAGTTATAATTATTCCCTAATGCTAATTATGCATCAGAATTATCCTAAACACTGTATCAAACATGGCTTGCATCTGCACTACCTGCATAACCATGAAACTGCGTGTTCCCCAATATAAGCTTGCTGAGGGCCCTACTCCACTCATCAGGCCTTTTGAGGGTTCCTTTCTCACCTCAGCAGGCTCAGTGATTTCAGGAAGACTAATGAATATGTGTAAGGATGTTCATGACCAGTTTTATACTTTACTCTGTGGGGAACAACTTGATAAACACCTCACAGCAAAGGTAGTGAAGTATTTATTCCTCAGAGTCCTTCAATGCTCAGTGCAGACATCTGGGGACAAAAATGTACCTTTGTCTGCTGGTGTATAGCCAAAAGAACTCATTCTGCCTTGTGTGAAGATGTTTTGAGACTGTCATTCTTCTTTTTCCCCCAGCTTCTGGAAAAAACCAACTTGTTTGAGGAATCCGATTCTGCAGCTACAAAAAGCCCTTTGCATTTAGCTGTAAGTATGGGACTTGGGTAAAGTGTTTGATCAGCATCTGCTAGAATAATTCCTTAATCTCTGTCTTTGAAGCAAGTTTAATCATAGACTTGTTTTGAAGCTGGGAAAGGATGTAGGTTTAGACGTAACAAACACAGGTTGTGGACTGGAATCGTTAATTATGTTTTCGGCAGTTGAAGCTCTTGGTTTGGTTCTTACTGATTGTGATACCCGGGTAAGAAGAAGACACAGACACTGAAGTGAAACTGAATGGAAGATTGCAACTTTTATTTATAAGTAGTTTATAAAGTTGGGGCCGGAGGTTGAGCCTGTGGTTCTGATCATGGATCTGATGTTCTGGAGATGAGTACAAAACGCTGTCTGGTACACAGCCAGGTGCAGGGGGAAGCATGCTTAAACCCCCAGCAGTGCCCTGGGAGTGTGCCACAGGTGACGGTGCGTGATAGTGGTGATGGCTGAGTGAATGACTGCACAAGACAAACAGGAAGAAAAAGCCAGTTTTATTGTCCTTTCAAGGAGAGGAAGGGCTGTACAGTCTGCGTGGCACCTTCAAGATAGATACCTCACATTGTGTCGAAGACCAGGTCATTGCAAGTTGTTTACTGAGGACAATTGTACTGAAGAAGAAAAGCTGACAACTGTGTCAGAGTATTTACTGAGATATGGGTTTCCTGTGCCCTGATCTCCTTTTGCTTTTCTTCTACTTTCGCCTTTGCTTTCCTTAAGTAGCTGTCTTGGTCTGACAGTGAAATGACTTTTTGCTCCCTGCACTGTCCTGTTCTTTTGAACTTTTGGCAATGGTCAGTAGCAGCAAGCTGCTGCCACCACTACTTACCCTTGAAATTCAGTGTCTCTGTGTTTCTCCATGTTTGCATTTCTCTTCTGTTTCATTAATTTCTTTATATAATTTTATATAATACTTATTTATATAATTATTTCTTTATATAACTCTGGTAATACTAATTATGCATTCATGTATAAATGAAAGAGGATGTTCTCTGTGAGTCTGTCAGTAATGAAAGCAGGGCAGTCCCTGCAAAGCTGAATGAAGCATTTCCAGTTTCTGGGGCTATCCACTGGGTTTCTACAATGTCACCTGTGTTCATGCTGTTGGCCCAAATGAGGCTGTAGGTCTGGAAGTGCATCTACTTGTCCACTGTACCTGTTCTAGCAAATGATCCTACTGGCAGAAGTAATCCATGAAGCATCAGCTATAAACAGCAGGTCAAGTTTGTGTTTGTATTTGCACAAAAATCTGGATTGAGAATTGCTTTTGTCCAGTTGGAGACCAGCAGCTATGTTGAAGTTAGCACACAGTTAGGTGATGATCCATGCGACCTCTGCCCAGCATCACTCTAGTGAATGTGACTTTCAGAGCAAACATTTGCCTGACAGATACTGTAGAATGTGGAAAATGAACTGTTGGTTCACCAGTGCCTAGTTGGCAAATTGTTGCCTGAAGTTCCTCACGTTGGGTTGTATTAGAAGGTTAGAGCACTTTCCTTCCCTAAACACGAGGAATTACTTAAGTTTCTTGGCTGTAATCCTTTCAAGTCAAAGAGAGAGTCATAAGGAATTGAGAAAACTGTAATTTCTGCTGTGTTCAGGAGGCTGTGACAATGATGGATTTTATTCTCATTTTACATGAAAGTTCTTCAAAGACAAGAGTTGTGTTCTTTACGTGACACATTTCATATTTCTAGGCCTATAATGGTCATCATCAAGCCTTGGAGGTACTTCTCCAATCTCTAGTAGATCTGGATATTAAGGATGAGAAGGGACGCACCGCTTTGGACCTGGCTGCATTTAGGGGACATGCAGAGTGTGTGGAAGCTCTCATCAGCCAGGGTGCTTCTGTCATTGTAAAAGACAATGTCACCAAAAGGACCCCTCTCCACGCCTCAGGTGAGTATGATCTTATGTTACACTTGTGGTATAAACCCTACAACACAGAAGCAGTTACCTTTACCTACCTACTATTCCTACGCACATTTCTTCTAAACACAAGAAGGAGATTTTGACATGTACTGAGGACTGCTGCTTGTTTGCTGGAGGGGGTCCTACATTTAACCTTTTATCTTTCATTTCCTTGTTTTCTTCTTCCCTCTGTCGCTGAGGTTCAGTCCCCGCTCACACAGCATCCTGTATTTTTCCACACCACTACTGCTCTGCCCTTACATGCTTGCCTCTGCTTCACTTCACCCCTCTATTACCTTTAAGATGTGTGATGTTTCTCCTGTGACACCTTCTTTTAATGGTTCCTTGGCCACAAAATCAGGGGAAGAGAGAACACTTGCCTCACTGCTTCTCCTGGGGAAGAAAGGTTGAAAGTACAGGTAGGCTCTGACTGGTGATAAAATTATCCTGGTGTCCAAAGCTTTCATCCTTTTGCAGAGGCAACATAACAGAAATAAGCTCCCTTTCAGGCATTATCCTCCTCCTGAGCTAGCTTGTGAACTTGCTCTTGCTGGGAGTCTGTTCCACTCCTTGTGTGTTGAGTGTTAATAATGCAACATGCCTGATTAACTGCAGAATGTGGAATTTGCCATTTATTTAAAGGTTATTATTTAATAGGTACCTGACAGGTAAATACGCAGGGGTGCCAAAGGGAACCTTGCTCCTCTGGCTGTTCATCGAGGGGCTCAGTGCAGCATAGCAGTGACCTCTAGTGGGAAGTAACATTAATACTTCATTGGACCACATTTTCAGGGCAAATTAATTTGCCAGTTAAGACAGGCTTGTCTTTCTGTTTATCTTTTAGTCTTGTTTGTATTAAAATACATATACACAGAATCATAGAATCACAGAAGGGTTTGGGTTGGAAGGGACCTTAAAGCTCATCCAGTCCCAACCTCCTGCCACAGGCAGGGCCACCTTCCACTAGACCAGGTTGCTCCAAGCCCCGTCCAGCCTGGCCTTGAACACTACCAGGGATGGGTCATGATGATGAACAGTGTGGCTTTGTCTGGTACATTATCTCTATAGCAGTGGTTCTGAATTGTTTAGACATCTGGTTACAGTGACATAGGTTTCTTGTCACAGCTGAGTTGGGAGGGTTCTGTAATACTGAGAAAAGTAAATGGTACCAAAGTTACTTGTTGCCGCTAGGTTTTTTAGCAGCTCTGACTTAAAATATAACTTTGTTGAAAAAATCTTTTGAATAAGATTCAGTAGATTTGTTCAACAGAAGGTGTTATTTTAATACGCACATTTCTTACCTTCATGCAAATTCCGATTGCGGGTTGTTTTTTTCCTATCTTTATTTTTTAATTGCCTGCATCACTGTCCTATGAGCGCCTTCCATGTATAAGCAGTAGGAAGATGCACCATAGACTTTTCTGGTCTGTGATAATTTTTCTCCTCGGATTAAAAACAACCCAGGGACAGAAGGAAAATGTTCTTGAAATGTGCAGTGAAGCAAATTAAGTTAGGTGGGTAACAAAACAAAAGGCAAGGAAATTCTGCTCATGGGAATGATAGACGGATAAGGGACCATGTGCCTTAAGCAGAAGGAAAAACACTGCACAGGCAAGTTGAATGAACTCTTAGCAAAGAAAATTTGTCATTAATTTGGAGGTCTTCAAATGTGAGATAAGTGCACTTTGGGTTAATATCCATTAAGTTGTAATTTTAGAAGCTTCCATTCAAGAGCTATGCAGAGTTCTGTGGAAATTAACTCTGAAGCAAAGCTCCTATCGCCAGCTACTCCATAAGCCACTTGCAGCTGATGGGTTTTATTAGGCCGTTTCACAGCACTACGTTGTGTTTAGGAACAAAGAGTGATACCACCAGCTGGACCCTGCATGCTGCCACTACAGCTTTCAGTGGCTTTAATTTGCAGTGCAAGAGGTAAATTGGGATGTTTTGAGACCTCAAAGGGCGTTCCTGTGGAATAAATACCTTGCATATTTGCACACACGAAAATGAGTATCAGTGCAATGCAGTGCACTGGGAAGAGCCAAGGTGGCAAGCGTGCCTGTCCCCTGCATTCCTTCTAATTAAACAACGCAATGGCAGTTATGGCAGCCTGAGGTGGTGGATTGGATTACAGGATTCTGCAGAGCTCCATTCAGTGAGGGGATTTGTAACCTCAGTAGAGAAATCACCTAATGAAGTAGTTCTTTTTTCTGCCTAGCCCCCTGAGGACACAGACTGCCTCTGACCTCATCATACAGAGAATTTCCTTAGCCTAAATTATATGTTCCCTGTGTAATTTTATTACCACCAGTCTTTCCTCTGGCTAGCTTGGGGAATCCATTGCAAATGTTCCCCTAGGGTTAGTGTTGTAGCTCTGTTGGTCAAACTAATGTTCCCTGCAGGGTCTGTAATGCTTTGCAGTCACTGGGTCAGCTCCTGAGAGTTTCTGAGAGAGTCTGTTCTAAAGTTAATTTATCAAACCCCTTGTCAGACATTGGTGTGAACAAGTTATGATTTCCTCCCACTAGGAGAAAGAACAGATCTCTTTTATCCCCTAAGCCAGTGACTCATCAGCCCTGCAGAACTGTTTACATGTTATGTATATGGCATCACTTAGTGGTAAATAGCTAAAAATGTCCTTTATTTGTCTGGTGAGAGCAACTAAGATTGTTTTTGGATGAGTTATTTAAATGTGATGTGACAGAGGTGGTGTCCAAGGGTTCTGCCTCAGCCCACGGGGTGTAGGCAGTGTGAATGCATGACTTGCTGTAATAAGAACACAATCTATAGCTACTGAGTACAGGAATTACTGGTTTTCAAAGAAGAAAATACCGATTTCTTCCGCCCATAAAAGGCTGAAGCCTTTAAGCCAGCTGACACACAGATGGGCTTCCTGTGTCAAGCCCTGCAGAACGTAGTAACTCAGAGCCGTGGGTTACATTTTAAAATGAAAATTCTATTTTTGAGATAGCTGTGGCTTCCAATGGCTTAAATGAGATGGAAAAACACAAAGAGTGTGCTGTGTGATGTGCTGTTACAAATATGACATGTGTATGGTTGGTCATTCTGTGCGGATGCTTCGGTTTTCCTAGCAGCGCTGAAGAACTTGCTTGTACAGTGCACACAAGAAGCAAGAGCTTTGACCATGTACTTCCTGCTGTGGTCCCAAAAAGCCTTGTCTGCCTGCTCAGTCTGTGGGATTCTGAAATGCTGTCTGGTTTAGTAGAATCTTCTCGGTACTGAAAATCACAATCTCTGCTTTACTCATGTGGAATTTTTGTATGTAAGGGAATTAATCCTTATCTTACTGAGGTCAGGGAAATAACAGCTCACCATTTCACATGCACAAGTTACATGACAATTGTGTGAATATTAGTTTCTTACACTGTGGAATATTTTGTTTATAAGAAAATTTCTTATCCATAAACATTCCAATAGAAAAAAATCTGAAATTAAACACATTTTAATTGAATATGCCTTTTTTTCTTCCTTTATAGTCATTAACGGCCATACACCTTGTTTACGGTTGTTGTTGGAAGTTGCAGACAACCCTGACGTGACAGACGCCAAAGGACAGTAAGTTTTATTTGTGATGGGTTTTTTTTCAGCTCTATGATTCAAACAGCATCTCGGATTTCTCACCAAAAATTGAAATACTCTAATTCCTGCACTCACCCTTATAGATTCTGGCAGAGATTATAAAGTACACATTCAGCTGACCTAAGCCATTTAGAAAGGATTATACATAAATCTTAGGCTCTGCATCATACATTAAACAATTGTTCGTAGATGCTGGGGAACAAATTCAATAGAAACTAACAAGCTCATGAGATGTTTCTATAGAGTCTTGCTCTTTCTCAAACATCGCCATTCCAGGGTTTACTTGGTATATCAGGCTGGCGCATTGGGACAGAATGTTTATTTGAGGTGACAACGTGCATCTGAGATGTTGCTACAAAAATTCTATTTCTCATTAAATGCCAGCTGTAAAGGGACAATAACTTATACTTCTGAAGTGAAAATATGGCTTAAATAGTTTAAAAAACTCATGTGGGGTGCCTGGAACATATCTGACTGTACATATGGTTTTAAATGGTATTAGTCTATCTAAATATGGAAGGAGAATAGATCTCTTTCAGAAACAAATGGAAGATACGTTAGTCCAAATTCTGTTTCCCATGTCCCTTTTGAGCAATCATGCAGCACTTGCACAAGAAACGCTTTGGGAGGTTCTTATCTTGGTGGCTAGCAGGAACATTCATTCACAATGCTTGAATATTGTAAAGCTAATGGAGGTGACAGTTATTAAGACGGTTATTAAGACAAAAGATTTTGTTTTGAATAATGTTGCTCTGTAAATGGCTTACAAATGAGTTTGTATTTCAGTCATGGTAGTTGGTTGTTAAATATCTTAATAACTTCATACAAAAGGTCTTCACTTGGGTGTTACATAGACAAGTGTAGAGAAAGAAATAGGATTGTGCTTAGGAATGGAGAGAAATGCAGGGCTTCCTGATCCCTCTATTCCTGTAAGTTAGCATTAGGAAGTAGCATGTAATTTTATAACTGTGAGTGGTTTGGTTTTGTGTTTTTCTAGAACCCCACTGATGCTTGCAGTGGCATATGGGCACATTGATGCTGTTTCTTTATTACTTGAAAAAGAAGCATCTGTAGATGCAGCTGATCTCCTGGGATGCACAGCTTTACATCGAGGGGTGACTTAATTTTTATGATTCTTACTTGTTTTACTGTGACTACAACTCACTCATAAAGAGAGAGATAATGTACGTAGGAAATACTGTAAATGATTGGAAACATAACCATGCACGGTCAATGCGGTGAAAAGCAGGACAGATCCACTCTCAGTAATGCTCTGCTTTTGACTTTCTTTCATGCTTGCTTCAAGTGATTAGCTGAAATACTGATTAGACCATTTTTTCTTGGCTCTAGACACTTTACAATAGCAATCGTTATTCTTAGAACCAAGCACCTATGAATTCTGAAAATAATCTCTTTAAAAGAACTGCCCAGTAGTTACTCCCTTTTTCTTGGGTAGATGGTGTAAATAACCTAAAGCACAAGTTTTTAATAGAGGCAGTGAAACTTGAGGCACATCTTTGCTGGGAGTCACCTTCTTAGCCAATGTAAAGTTGAATGCAAGAGGTGATACTTACACAGAACTCCCTGGCAACTGCAGTGAGCAGTTCAGCTTACGAGTCCAGCACATAATAAAAGCTATGGCAAATGCTCTGTATTGATAGCAGTGCGTTAACATACTCAGGACACCAAAGTTAACTTATATATGATAAAGAGGTCACTGATACAGTAGCTGGACAGCTGTAAAAACAGCTTTTCTGCAATTCTTCTCTCACATTCATACATGGTTTTGAGAAGTCGGACTCAGGTTTTCTGAACTTCACCCCCATTTCATCTGTTTCCTTAGTCTTAAACTCCTCTTTATTTTTGTACCTCACTTAGTGGAGTCACTTCCACAGCCAGCCTTTGAAAGACAGTGCCAAGTGTATTTCAATGTATCAGTTATAGGTACTCATGGGAGAAAAGGAGCTTTCATTTCTGCCTTCTGAATCCCATCCAGGCCGTCTCATGTTCACAGGCATCAATCCTATTCCATATTTCCTGCAAGAATCTGTATTATGTCAACTTCTTACTCATTTCTCTGTTACCAGATTATGACCGGGCATGAAGAGTGTGTTCAGATGCTGTTAGAGAAAGAAGTATCTATTTTATGTAAAGATGCCAGAGGTAGAACACCTCTGCACTTTGCTGCAGCTCTGGGTCACGCCACTTGGCTGAGTGAATTACTGCAGATAGCACTTTCAGAGGAAAACTGCAGTTTGAAAGATAATCAAGGTTATACACCGCTGCACTGGGCTTGTTACAATGGTAAGGTTCTCCCTGTGGGCTTAGTTCAAATGTGGCCTGAGTTTTAGGGAAGCAACCGAACACTTTGAGAAGCTTGAAATGAAGAAGCAAATTATCTCTCCTCTACCTGCTCTCCATAGGTAGCATTTGTTTGCCCTTCAGATCAGAAGCCAGGGAAATTACAGCATTACCTCCCAGGGGCTTTGCAGCTTATCTAATCCCTGTCACAGGAGGCCAGGGTGAAGTTCTGATTTTACTGATGTCAATGATGAAATTGATTTCTGTGGGGCCAGGAATGCTCCTTTAAGGAGTCACCTTCTTATTTATTGATGTGAGACACCACATGAATAGATGGCTATTCTGAACTGATTATTCTAAACTGGATCATCTGATCTTGTTGCTAAATATGAGGACAAAGCTTCTCAGTATCATAGAATCATGAAATAGTTAGGGTTGGGAAGGACCTTAAGATCATCTAGTTCCATGGGCAGGGACACCTCCCACTAAACAATGTTGAACCATGTCATCAACTAAGATCATCTTTGGAGATGCATAAAGCAACTTACAGAACATCACTTAAAAGAGAGACTGTTTTTCCCTTTTTTCTCAATAAGTGCTATATTAGCTTGGATCTGTTTATTATTTTATCATATAAGAACTTATATACACATTGTGTTCAACTTGGAACTTCAAATATTAAATTCTAATCTGTATAAACCTAATATGAATGAGTGAATTACCTGTGTCTGATCTCTTACAGGTCATGAAAACTGCATAGAGGTACTATTGGAACAAAAATTTTTCCGCACATTTTATGGTAATAGCTTCTCCCCATTGCACTGTGCTGTGTAAGTAGAAATGTCCACTACCTAACGCAGATCTGTTGGTTTAGGATATGTCTGGAAGGAGTAGCAGTATGAGAAGAAAGTAATGCTTTTTTGAGGTTATTTTAAGGCTGATCATTAAATTGTCCTGATGCTTCTGCTGAGAAAGTGGCAAATAAAGAGTATTTTGGCATAAATGTCATTTATTTAAGCTTTTTGATAAAATATCAACTTACAGTTAAATAGCTGCATTTCTGCTCCCTTTCTAGTTTCTTTTCCCTTGCTGACAGTTACACACCTATGCCTTTTTTTCACACAGGGTGGAGCTTTATAGCTCTTCCTTTCTTAGGCCATGACTTGGGCTATAGTGCCTTAGTCTGTGTATGTATTGAGCTTTTGAGGTTCCTTTGAAAGCCAGCAGCTGAAAGTTAATATATTGGTCAGAATCAAGGCGATTCTTTTTTAGCAATAGAAACAAAGCCTTAATGAAGGACTTCGAAACAAGCATCTGTCACACTAGAATTGTGTTTTGTGCAGGCCATACTTTTGCCAAGACATCCTAAACTGAGTGTTTTCCAGTCTGATTTTCCTCATGGTCTTTTTCCCTTCTGAGATAATCTCATGTCTTAAAGGTTTGGTACTTCTTACTCAGATCCTAGCCAAAGGGACCAATCAGATTTAGAGGCGAATTCTATATCCAAAGTTCTTATATTACTTATGAACAACAAAAAGGTGGTGGCTATCATGAGTTATGCCTATGCTTATTAAAACATGAAAGCATATAGAAAGCACTGCTTTTATTCTGCTTAAAACAAAGTTCTTTGTGGCTGAAAGATAGTATTTGAAATCTGAATTTCAAATGATGGCTTTGAAAAAAGTGCCTTGACCAAGTGCTTTCCAGATCCATGTGTATTTGACATGTAAACTAAAAGATTTTAAGATACTAAGGTTTTAATGCTAGGTTTGTGCAGCACTTTCAGTTACCTTTTTCAGTTACCATAGTGAACTGCAGGATCAACTTTGCTTTAGAGATTGAAATCCATAGTAGCAGGTGTAGTTTGGTTAAGTGGAGAGATGATGAGTATTCAGAAATGTGACTGAAAGCATTAAGGCAAAGGTATGTTAGGATTACCAGTAAAAAATATTAATGGGAAGTGAAGGGAATTAATATTGTAAAATAGGTAAAGATGAAGATGTTTTACCTTTCTGAAAATACTTCTTTTTTTGGCAGAATCAATGATCATGAGAACTGTGCATCACTGCTCATCGGAGCCATCGATGCCAGCATTGTCAATTGTGAAGATGACAAAGGAAGGTAATAGTTTCTTAAACAAAATGCATTTCATAAATCCAGCTAGTATTTTTCATAATTCTTTCTGAACCTCTGAATTATCTTGGTTGAGCTAAGACTTGCCATGCTGACTCTTTCAGAGAGCAGTTTACACTGCAACAAAGTTAAATGGTGGCTCACTTGAAGCAGGAATACTACAAAAGTACTCAGTTTCATAGTACATATGAAAAGAATACAGAAGAAACAGTATTTTCCTTGTGCAGAACATCCATGACTGCAGGCTGTTTCCTGAACCTGTTTACTTTGTTAAATGTTCAAACATGTTTATCTTTGCTAAATGGAGTGATACTGTGTACACATGGGAAAGTGTTTCATGAAAAGCTTTAAGGTTATGTTGGCATTCGCTGAGTGCACAACTGAAAACATCTGTGCAGCAAAACAGTACAGATAGAGCAACACATACACATTCAGCCAAACCCTTAATTTGTCACATTAATAACGTCCTCACTCTGTGTGTGTGTATGTATATATATATCTTTAATGAAAATTGCTGAAATTCTAAAAATGGAATACTCATTTTTTAATTAAAACAAATTCAAGACCTTCAGTAATGATGATTACTAACTCTTGTAAGGCTAAGACCATCTCACCTTTTCTGATAAGCAAAACCTGATGTATCACTATGAGCTGGGCTCTGTACCAACTTTAATCTGTATTAGTCATGCTTCAGGCTCAAAATGCCACAGGGAGAGTGTCTCAGCCTTGTGAAAACTGATAACCTTCAAAACTGGATTTAATTCTTTCTGCCTTTATATTAATGCTGTTGCTGTGCAGCATCTTTGAATATAACTTAAAATACTTTAGTATTTTTTAGCAATGGATCTGTTCTTTTCTAATAGTTCTTCCCATCTTAGGCTTGTTAAAAAAGTAAAATCAGATGGATAAGACTGCAGGATTACACTGCTTTTCATGTTACACAGTATGCTCTGTTAAATAAATATGCTGCTAATACGAGGTTCTGAGATTTTCCACACTATCATATCCATCTCCTGCTTCCCTGTTTTTAAAATTGGTACTGCACCAGGACAGAGACTGTAACTATTATTTAACTTATTTCAGCTGCTGCTACTCTATAGCTTTCCCATGGTGATAACTTCAAGTTTTGTAGGAAAATAAGTTAAAAATGGCTTGCACTTCCAGGTTCATGGGCAGGTAATCAAACAGGAATATTGCCATTCCTTAGCAACAGCTGTGGTCGTGTTACTTTCCCCACAGAACACCCCTTCACGCAGCAGCCTTCGCAAATCACGTGGAGTGCCTCCAGCTCCTCCTGAGTCACAGCGCACAAGTGAATGCTGCAGATCACGCAGGGAAAACACCACTCATGATGGCAGCTCAGAACGGTCACATAGGTGCTGTAGGTGAGTACATCCTCTGTTTGTCTCAAAGGGTGAATGCTACTGCAGTGACTATCCCAAATAAGTAATCATTTTTTTCCCATGAAAACTAAGGAAAATAAATTATGTGGCTGTCTCTGAGAAGCTACTTTTACATCCGTAAATATATTTCTTTTCCTCCTCAGCCATTGTTTCTCACAGACTTGGTGAACATTTACAGGAACAGATTTGTGTCTTACTTCCTCCTAAGAGCACACTGGAAGGAGCATGAGGGGAGCAGTAATTCTATTCCCTTGTTTACTCCCTTGATTTTATGGAGCAGTAAACCTGCATGTGTGAAAAAGATTATGTAACCTTTTCCTCTGCTCCATTATGGGAAGTCCTATGCTTCAAACGGCAGCTATCAGCAGCTGCTTTTCCCAGGCTAGACTATATACTACAGGTGTACAGATTAGGATCATACTGGTTTAACAGAATTCCCTTTTCTCTAGCTTCGACAGCACAGACTGCTGAATTCTTTATATCTGCTTAGTCCTCTCAAAGCAGGAGCCACAGCTGTTCTCAGGAGAAGGTGATTCAGGCAGAACTTGCTGATCTGCAAATGGGGAGGTTCATAAATAAACTTCAAAATGTACATGTTTTTGTACATGTTTGATGGTTTGGGGCACAGTGAATGAACTATTAGCTCTGCCCTTGCTTGCTGATTAACTGCACAAGATTAGTCTGTTCTCATTCATTATTTCCATTTCATGTTCATAAAGCTTACATCACATAAAGGCTTAACTGATTAGCGTGCATGCACACATATACTGAAATAGTAATTTTTTCCCCTGTATTTCTACATGTTTGTCTGTCCGTCGGGTTTGTCCATTGATTTCTGTTCTACACTTCAGACTTTTTGGTGAACATTGCCAAGGCTGACTTGACATTAAAAGATAAGGAGTCGAATACGCCTTTGCACTTGGCTAGCAGTAAAGTAAGTTGAAGATCTCTTTATGCTTCTATTCTTGTCACTGTCTGTATGTGTGTGTGTGTTTATGCTTCTAAGATTTTTTCCTGCAATGGAAATGTGGTGATTAAACTTGTGGCGAGGAAGAGAACATTGTTCCAAGCTTTTTCTCAAGTCTGCATTAAAGTTTTGTAAATTGAGAGACATGGGTGCCTCTTATGACAGCTGAAACATAAGGACATAACACTAAAAGAAGTAATGGAAAACTCTCTCAGATTTTACCAAATGATCTCACTGTAAACAGCATAGCTTCAGTTACTCTCCAATTTCTGTGGAAGAAACCCAAAATCTTCTCTTAATGGAGTAGCAGTAAAACCAGAGGCACTGATAAGATTGGTGGTGGTGTCTCCTCCCACCCTTTCTTCCTCTTACTTCTGATTGCTATTGCTGTTTTTGCAAGAAAAGTGCCCAATGAATTCCCTCTTCTGAGCCTTTTCTTTTGCTCCGAGCTACAGATTCAACTCCAGTGCGATAGTGTTACTCCAGTTTCTGCAGATACTGAATCTGGATACTGCCTCACTGAATTCTCAAGGTCTGTCAGACAGCTATTCACGTGCCAGGGCTGCAGGCTCAGCATCTGCGACCTGCTGTGCTGAAACAGTATCAGAAAGAAGGCCTGTATTATTTCCACAGTTGTGTTGTCAGAGCTCTCACACTGAAGGGATTTTGCAGTAGCTTATCAATAACACAGAAAGGCTTTTAAAGACCCAGAAAGTACAGTATTCATTTCTGAGATTAAACCATCTCTATGTTACTATAGTTCTAATGTAGTTATAATAAATAATCCATTGAATGGCTCTCAAGAGAAATAGTAATCTTCTGAAGAAGTGAATTCATCTATAAGGAATGAAGGATTGAATGTGTAAATTTCTAAATGTGCTAAAGCATCCTTGCAGTGGCACTTCATAAACGGTATTTTACAGCTCCTCCAGTTCACCTACTACATATCCATATAAACTGTGTACTGTGTTTTGTATTTCAAATTGAGTTAAATTTCACTTTTATATGTAGAATTTTGTTTGTCGCAGTTTCACATTCTTCAGCAAATTAACACTATTTTTCCCTCCCCCAACTACAGGGTCATGAAAAATGTGCCTTGTTAATACTTGACAAGATACAAGAACAGAGCCTTATTAATGCAAAAAATAATGCATTGCAGACGTAAGTATAGCCTGATCCTCTCAAGTTCACTTGACTTACAACAAGATTCCAATTTCACATTTCAAATTCATGTCTCAGATTTTTTCACTGAACAAAAAAGTCAATTTCTGATTTATTTTTTTTTTTAGTGTTTGCCCTTGACAAGACAAGATTCATACTGCATTTTCACTTTTAATTTTGATTCCTTTGATGCCATTTCTGTACATGGTCTGGTGGAAAAATTATATGGGGTCATTTATTTGAAGACTGTATCGAAATGTCTATTAATCATGTGACTGTGCAAGTAGACATCTGGCATTTCCTAACTTTTTGAGTTATGAATTATTTAGATTTTTTTTTAGTTATGAATTATTTAGATTTAAGGTGGTACATTTAATTTTCAGAGGTTTTTTTAGGTGATATTTATGTACAACTGCCGTCCATACCATCTATTATCAGGAGAGTTAAAACCAACAATATCCTTACTCCAGCTGCAACTATTTGACTAGTATGGGGGAATTCCATTGTAGAAGGTTCAACCACAAGTTTAGGTGGCAGATCATCTAGTGCTTGCAGAAGAATTCATTCCATCTTAGCCCTTTTTTCCCCCTTCCAATATGAAATTCGTTTTCCTCTCCTATTAGCTGCCTCCAGAAAGGAGCACTGGGTGTCCACCCAGGAAAGAAGCAAACCGATGGTTGTTTTTAATTTCCAGTGGCTCTGTGTTAACAAGAGATTCGTAATACAAGGATATAAAGGCAATATAATGACTCTGAGCAGTCTGTAGTAGCCAGAATTAAAGATGGAGCAAAGGCATTTCTTCAGTGTCAGATTAATTTTCCTATAAAATTTCAATTGTGTTCTGCAAACAGTGGAAAAATTAGAGTTATTTTTAAAGAAAGCCTTTAGACTGGAAAGGTATTAAGCAATCTTTATGTATGTAAAAGTAATATTTGTCTTGCACATATATTTTATAGATGTGACACATTATGATTATTTTAAAGGCTGCAATATAATTTAATGTCTACAAATGACTAATGTTCCAAAGAAGGAAAACATTGTCTTTAAGTATTACCCAACTATTTTTAGAAAGTATTTTAAATTGAAGGTGAATTTAGTTGTTATGTTTTTTGTAGACCTCTCCATATTGCTGCACGAAACGGCTTAAAGATGGTGGTGGAAAAATTGCTAGCCAAAGGGGCATGTGTTCTAGCAGTAGATGAAAATGGTAAGTAAATAATATACTTCAACAATCTTCAGTAGACCTAGCAGGTAGCTTTACAACAGACCGAAGCAATAGACTTAAAAGCTGATGATAGACATCATTGATGCTTTTATCCCTCCAAGAACAGACAATGAGCTGTGTGAGTACCTATTAAAAACTGTGTGAGTACCTATTAAAAAAAAATAAAATAAAAGATACTTTTTCTTTAATATGAAAATGTATTCTAAACATCACAGTGGTCCCTTTTACTGTTCATTTTGCATGTACTGCCAACAGCTAGTCTTTTTTAATGCTTGAGTGCAGTGGTAACTTGAATTTCCTAAACATGCAAGTGGCACCGGATAATTCTGACGCCTTGCAGAAGAATTAAGGATTATGCATTCAATCAGCGCATGTTTAAATGGGTAGGAAGAAAACCATCACCATATGTTTGATTGTGTCCTAGTTCATTCTGAGATCAAAGCTTGTGCTTACCAATTGTGTGACCTAATCCAAGATGCAAGTAAATTACTGTGGCTTCAAAAAATACATGCTTAGTTAATAAAGCCAATTTTGTTTCAGATCTCAATGAAGTCCTTCCCCAAACATTATAAAGCCCTTAGAGGGCTGTGCTTCTAAATTAATGTTTTCAAAAATGTCTTCCTGAAATAAGCTAGTCTTTCTTACAATACTTGACATTAATGTAACAATTCAGTACCTCCATCTCCCATATCTATAAAATAACAATAATAATACCCATCACTGCAAGAAATTTGAGATCAATGGATAAAAAGAACTGAGTGGTGAGTATTTACTATTAACCAAATGCTACCTAGATATACTTGCATGAATGAGATCCACCAAAGTCATCTGACCATAACCTCATTTTAGAGACAGGGGACAGAGAAATTAACCAGACCAGCTTCTAACCACAGCTTTTATCATTAAAACTGTGCATACAGATCCAGCTAATTTGCACATATGTAATGAATAGAAATTGAGTTTAAATTTTATACATATTTAGTTTTTATAGGGACAACTGCATATGCAGTTTAAAAGACAGAAATTTAAGTACAGTCTTAGTGTAAGTACAACTGTAAAGCTTGGACCTCAGTGGAAGAGGAAACTTCACTTAGGATATGCATACCCTGTAGTCAGTGCTTAAATACAGGTAGTTTGCTATGAAACTACACAATGTAGGTGAGTTTGGGTAGGTTTGTCCACCAAACTCACCTACATTGCAGGTGTTCTTGGCTTACTGGAAGCAGTAGGATATCAGTAGTGGTCACTGCCTCAAATTACTGTTGCTGCTGCACCTAAGATTTAGCCATCTGGAAAAGAATTTGTTTGCTGTTAGCATAAAGCAGGCTTTGTTGGAAAGTGCTGGAGTACTACACAGCAGCCTGTAAAATGTATAGACAGCAAGTGTAATCAGCATACTGGTTTCCAAGGTTTATATATATATGAGGAGCTGCTTGAGGGGCAGTGCTAGGGCAGGAGCCAAGTTATAGTAGTGAAGACAAACTTCACTGGCTCCCCAGTTCTTTGTTTTACTGACATCTGTATACTGTTAATTTGTATTTAAATCACGTGCTGTGCTTTCTGAATACAGTTGTTCTTCCAGCGTAATGTAAATTTGGGTAACATCCATGTAGCCATACCTGCTAAACAAGTACCACGTGTACTAGTCTAATTCTTTTCTAATTCCTAAATAAACTGCTTTCTGAGTACTCAACTGATACTCAACTTTTAAAGACTGATCAGTCTTTAAAATACTTTGCTTTTTACTTCAAAATATTTTTAAGCTAATATCTTTCATGTTCTGATGAAAGTCGTTGTTCTCAGAATGGGACTTGTTCATACGCACAGAAACTGAAGCCAGTTTCTGTCCCTTTTGCTGTATTCCCCGTGTTCTGTATTCATCATACTGTCTGTGCTGTAGAACTGTTTAGCAAGTGCTTTTATTCATATTGTGAAGTCTGTTTGCTGCCTGATTTTCAAAATACAGTGCTTGTTGTGGTCACAATGATTTGAATGCTCCGTGAAGTGTGTATTTTCCCAGCATGTCTAATTTAAAGTAAGTAACATACCCCTGTTGCCTGGCATGATTGTAACTGAACATACATCTCCCGCTTACAACGTCACCTAGAGATGTATATGAGGAATGCTCAGTGCCATTCTCAGTACCCTTCGTACTAACCATTGCCTTGTCTGCATTTGTGCCCAGGTCATACGCCAGCCCTGGCTTGCGCTCCTAACAAAGACGTGGCTGACTGCCTGGCACTCATTTTGGCAACCATGATGCCTTTTTCTCCTTCCAGTTCAATGACGGCTTTCAACTTCGTTTGTTTTAAAAAAGACAATTTGGGCAGGACACACCTCTGCGATGGCTCCAGCATGGGTAGCATTAACTCTTACAATAAGCCCTTAAGTAACAACATAGGAACAGAGGATGGGTACAATGAAAATGATTCAGATTCTGAAACATTTTGACTTTTTGGTATTCAGAAACTTCTTTTTCATTATTGTTTCATTTCAGCTTTATTTCTGTCTTTTTAAACAGCTTAAATCCCAAGGCCATATTCTCAGCTATTACTCTTGACAAGTAGGTATTGAAAGATTTGTAGTGTTATAAGAATCAAGCCTTTAAATAACTAAGTTAGAGGGGTTTACTGGAACATATTCCCATTGATGTTCTGCAGCTTTTCAGATTCCTGGTGTTTTCTTTAGGCCCTAAGTGCCCCTGTGGAAAACCTCTACCTCTTATTTTAAGTAGAAAAAGAGAAAATGCCTTTTTTCTTTTTGACAGCACAAATAAACAGGGAACTGTTTGTAAGTTTTTACATGTTTTAGCTGTACTTTTAGTACACAGACATATTTCCAGCATAGCTTTCATAGGTTTTAGCATCACCCCTTTCCTATGTGTGTGTGTTTCCTGCTTCCAGGGGCTCTGTTAATTAGATTTATTAATTTTTGTTTTACACAAACCAAAGGTAAAGTTGTAAATCTTAAAACCGCCTGTATTACTTTTCTACAGGAAATGAAACCTTTTGCATTCTGCGTGTATTAAGCACTTAAACGTACAGAGGCACTTTTCACAGTTCTTAGTTGCAGCACACAATGAGAAAAATATAGTTATTAACTCTTAAGGCCAAATTCTACTTGTCTGACCCTATTTCCCCACAGATATTAGTGGAACCAATGGTATAAAATGAAAATCACTTGGTCCTTATATTTTTTCAATTCAGCACAAACATATACAGTTTATTTGCACTACAGAATTAGGGTCATTAGATGTTTCTGTCACCTGAGCCATTAACCATGAATCTCATATCAGAAAAAATAAGGGGGGTTGAGGATGTGAGGAATTAGGTGTAGGTAAAGGTGTTTGTAAAAGTTGATAATGACTTGCCAACTTAAATGGATTTTTTTTTCCTCTTCTATACTTAAATAACTTATTTTTACTGTAAACAGTATCAAATTTTAAAATACTTTTAACAGTGTTTGGATTAACAGAGCAAAGGTAAAGCAATGAAAGCATAACACCAAAAGCTGAACTACCAAACACCAGAAAACATGGCAGTGTACCGCGCAGGGATTGGAGATACATGCTAAAAAAGCCTATTGTCACCAGCTTTTAAAGCAATGTCAACTTTGTGAATATGTTTACTCCTTCTGCCAAAGTTTCTAGGTCAAATGGACCACGACCCTCACCTGCAACAGATGTACAAAAGGAAGAATGAGACTTTGTAAACAAAAACAAACTAAACAAAAAGCTATCACGAACTAATCAGCTGTACCAAGAGGACCAAAATGCTTCAGTAATTAAATGGAAGACTTTGCTACTTTTATTTTTTCTTCAAATGTGAGTGACATAATGAACCAGTTTTTTCTAAACCATAAAAATAGAAACTTTTGAGGTAATGAGTAGTCTTGACTGAATTTTACATTTTATGACGCAGGTTTCAAGTTGACATTTGTAACTGTTGATGTGTTGACCACAGTTCGGGTTGGGTTTCTTTCCAGACTAAAGAATATGTTCATATACTTTTAATGTAAATGTGTTTATATTTATTTGAAGTGAAACAAATGCCCAGGAAAAAATACCTATGGCTTGTTCTCCTAGTTAGCATTTGTGCATATTATTTGGCATGATGCGAAATGAAATGTGAATCTAGGCAAGACTCATAGCCTGAGTAGAAAAAGGAAGGGCTGATGCACTTTGGGAGAGTGCCCATCTTCTTGTATGGAATGCAAAGATTAAGTCCACAGGCTATATTGGTATAAAGCAGAAAGCAAAATACGTTCCCTCATTTAAAAGCAAGGCAACTGAAAGAGCACTGTACAGTGACAGGAGAAGGCAAGGGTAGTGTAGCATGGAGTCAAGGTGTCACACCCAGGCTTTCTGCCGAGCTATGTATGTGCTGGGAGAATGAGCCAAGCGTTGTCAGTACATGCTTTTGGCAGGGTAAATTAAAAGTAAGGGATATTTATTTTAATTGCTGTTTTTAGCCGTGTTCCATTGAATTGTTAAAAATCTATTGGCAGATTCCAGTTCTTTAATTAGGAAAGAGATTAATTTTGCCTTCCTAAAATGAATAGTTTCCTTGAACGTTAACAGATTTCCAAAGTTTACAACAAAAAATCACAAGGGATAGTGTCTCTAAAGGTGAACATTTCTTTTCCCTCAACTCTCTATTTTCTGCAGCACAATGATGGAGCATCTGAAACCCCTGTTTCCTCCTCAGAGATAGCACAGAATAGCATTCTTCTGATTGATTTTTGTCAACATTTTCCCTTTTAGAAGTTGCAAAATAGCAATAACCACCTTACTCTAAGCACTGAAAATAAAAGGAGAGATCAAGTTGTTTAAAGTTTTCAGTGGTGTCTTCATCCTAAATTTTGCTTTTTTAATGTGGAATGATGTCACTGAAAACAAATAAACAAATGGGAAATGGCTGCCACCCATCTAATAGCAGGATCAGCCTTTTAGATTTATTGTAACCAGAGATGTAAGTAGGCTCCTTGGCAGGATTAGTGGTCTCACACAAGTTACACTCTCCTACATGAAGTTGCTTCATTAGGAGAAAACCAGTCCTCTTTAGAAACAGGATGATGTATTATTTTAAGCAGCCATTTGAAAAACAAAAATAAATCAGTATTTTTACTTGCTATTATACAGAGTTACTGAAAATATTTCTGTATATTTGCAATACCTTGTAGTTGCATAGTGCAACAAGTGCTGCCTCTTAATGATGTATTCAACATTATAAAAGCATAGGTGCTTACTGAATTACTTTGATCCTTCTAGGAATCAAATCTTAAACTGATAAAACTTTTCTGAAACAAACAGTGATCAAAGTATGCAATATTCCCAAAATCATAGAAATAGGTAATTTGTTAGCATCTTTAAGGCATTGTGAAAGTCATGTTTTGAGTATGCTGTATTTAGGAGGAAAACTGTCATGAGCAAGACATTTGGAAGTACTCAGTATTGGCCTCTCCCACATCTCATGTGAGTTCCCAGAATCCCTTTTTTGGTATGCTGGTACATTAATCTGTAATATAATTTATCACATGTAGAAATACATTTGTAATTTATGGCAGGTATTTAAGCATGGGTATCATTCTGCTCTTGTAAATAATCACCCTGCCTTTCTGTGGACTTTTTACGAGAGTAGTCATATGTAATTGTTGCACTTAACCCTGGATCCTGCAATTTACAGTAGGTGGACAACTTATGTGTCTGCACCAAGCAAAGGTTATTTGGGGAGGCCCAGCCATCTGCCCAGGTGTATTAGCAGGATCGTTTCATCCTGTGTTTTAACCACAGCTGCAGGTGGAATCCATAGCAGGATGGGGTCCCAAGTCTCTCATAAATACTGAGTTACAACCTCTGGACTGCCTGAAATTGCTGTGAAATAGCTCAGGGGATTTCTGTTCATCGCTATTAAAAGGGCACCATAATGTGTTTGGTACTTTTATGCAGTAAATAACTGCCAGATTATTGAGTTAGAACAAACACATGAAATGAATTGTTTATCCATTGTACTGTTGAGAAACTTGGTTATGTATCTTGAGGATGATTTTAAAAGAAAAAAATTGTGATTTTTATTCTTAGTCATGTAAGGAATATTAGAGTGCCTTTTTATATTTGTGTAATATGGAAATGTTTTGTGAAACTTGTCTTTTTTTTTTTCCACTTGAGTGTTATAAAAGCAATATATTACCAGTAAATTTTCATTTCAGACCTTCTTTGAATGTATAAAGTGTTTCTTTTAATATGTTCTACCTGCATTGAAATGAAAATTAATATGCTAAATTTCTATAGGAATAATGTATAATTTTTGCAGTGCTGAAAATGCTTTCTTATTACACAAAAAGTAAACCTTAGGTCAGTGTTATAGGAAAGGGCGTTTTAAACTAGTGACAATCTGAGTGTTTGTACAAAATGTAATTTTATGCGTTTCTTATGCAGTGATCTACATATTAAAGCCAATATCTTATGTTTTGTAGGTTTTGTCTTATATTTTATGCTTTAGCATGTGCAATATATCTTTACAAACCATGGTGAAACGATCTGGTGCCAGTGTTATATTTTGCATAACATTTGTAATAAACAATATAAAATATTGTTTGATGGTTTCAGTGGGATTTTGTTGGTATTGTTTGCTTTTGTAAATTGAAGTGTAAGGACTTGGGTAAATGTCACATTTGAAATGAGGAAGAAGACTCAATTCACTGAATGACTTGGAATTCAACCTGAATCTTCTCAAGCACATTTAAGTAACTTTTTCAACTACTGAATGCTCTGTTAATGTAATGAAGAACCCTAACTGTAAACTATTATTGCAATGCATTCAGATGGTTATTTTTACAAATAAAAATGGTACAAATACTGTTGGAAAACTGAGTAGACTTTGTTTCTTTTAAAGGATGGGGAAAGGCTTAAGAATTGAAGAAGCTGAAAACGCAACTGTATGTCTTTCTGCTGTGTACTTCCCTCATATGTAACAACCCTTTGTCTTACTAAGCCCCTGTTAGTATCGCTTCCTCTGTAACTGAAAAAAAAAAAAACCACAACCCAAATCCAAAAAAAACCCCAGAATCAGTAACGTTTTTTGATCAGTTACTTTTACTGGCAGCTTTCATGGGTGAGCAACGCTAACAGTCGTGGGTGCATCGTGGTAGTAGTCCCACACAGACTAAAATCCAGCGAAGAATTTCTAAAGCTAGTAAAGGTATCTAAGTTGTTTAAAGCAAGCAAACAAACCACCAACCACCTCAATAACGTCTTTTGTATGTTGAAGATTTACGGATGTTTTAACTGCTAACAGGCCAGGAGCCGTAAAAGGACCTGAGCAGGGGGCGCGAACCGCAGCGAGGTCCCCACCCTCGCTTCTGTCAGCACCGCGATCCCGCAGACACCTGGGGGGGGAGGGGCATTTTGGAGGCCGCAAATGCCTACAAGCAGCGGCCGGCTGCGGAGGGGGCCGAGGGGAAGGAGTCTCCTCACGGCCCTCAGGCCGGGGGGTACCCTTGCAGCAGCAGCGGGACTAAGCAGGCGCACGACAACAGCAGTACGATCACTCGACCTCCCTATCATGGCGGACACGCCGTCCCCCCGCAAGCTACTGGATGGGGGAAGCCTGTAGTCTCCTGACCTCCCCGTGATGGCTGCCGTGACATGGCGGACGTTCCCCCTCAGCCTGGCGGAGCAGCGGCTGGACAATCACCGGACCTCCTCAATATGGCGGCCTCCCGCCCCTGCCGGCGGCCAGGTTGAGGCGCCGGCCGGCCCGCCCCGCCCCGCCTCCCGGGCGGTGGCGCTCCCGCCCCTCCCTGCCGTGCCTGTGTGCGCGGACAGCCCGCGTGGGGAGGAGGGCTCCTCTCCTCTCCTCACCTCAGCGCGGCGGGGCGCCATGGGGCGGGCGGGGCGCCGACTGCCAGCGTTGGCAGCGCTCTTCTACGGGGCACTGGCAGCGCTGGTGCTGCTGGGGGTGCGGGACGTGCTGTTGGTCTACGAGGAGAACCGGTGCAGCATGACCTACATGTACGAATACCCCGAGTACCTGGTGAGTGAGGGCGGCGCTGAGGGAGCGGGCGGCGCTAGAACAGGTGGGAGCTCCTGCCGCTGCCGGGGTCCTGCCGCTGGGCGGCCCCGCGAACCCTGGGGCGTCGCCTCCCGCCTCGCTGCGGCCGGGAGCCGCCTGTGTGTGGCGCAGCCCTCCCGAGGCTGGCTTCCACTGCCCTGCTGCAGCTCAGGGCGAGGAACAGCCCTCAACGCGCCCGGCCGCGGGTGCTCCCCGAACTCGGGGGGCTACCAAGTTGCTGAGGCGGCCTCTGCAGAGCTGTAAATGGGGCACAAATAGCAGTGGCTCGTTTGAGGGGTCGGCGTGTTTGGCAGAAAGCGCTGTCTTGGCTGCCTGCTGTACGGGTGCACCTTGGATAGGTACAGCAGGGAGAAGCGGTGGTATGCCTGTGAAGTAACCGACGTGTTTCGTACCGCCACCTGTATAACAGAAAACGAATAGAAAAGCTTCCGCTTTTCTAGCCTGTAAATGCCCGCAGCTACCTGTAGTCCTGGTAAAAGCAGTCAAAAGCTCATACAAGGTTTGGCAAAGGGGGAGAGGCAGGGCCAGGTCCCTGACAGCACTCACAGAGCTGTCGCTGACCGGGAGGCAGTCTTGTACTTCCTGGTCCTTTTTGTGACTTTGGAACAGTGAAGCAACCACTGGTGAATCACTGAGATGCAAATATGAGGGTATTTCTCAAGCTGGTGAACAGCAGCACAAAGTTTTCTCAGTGAGCACTTCGTAGATGGCACACCCTATGATGTATGGGAGAACGTGTAAATCTCTCTGAAGTTCCTCTCACTTCGCTACTGAAGCCTTTTAAAAACCTCTGAAAACGTCGGATCAGCCTGAGAGAGAAGACTGCTGATGGAACTCTTGTTTTGCAGACACAGTGTTAGGGTTTAAGAGGGGGAGGATGTGTGTGAGTGTATGTAGGCTCACTGCTAATACTGCATGTAGTTGTCGAAAAGCAATTCATCTTTTTTTAACAGTAGTTCTTAGTACAGGATTTTCTGCCCTATGAGAAGCATCCCAAAGCATAATTTCGTG